GTGGTGGTCAGTGTGGTTGTGGTTTGGTAGTCAGTATGGTTGTGGTGTGTTGGTAGGGTGGTGGTCAGTGTGGTTGTGGTGTGTTGGTAGAGTGGTGGTCAGTGTAGCTGTGGTGTGTTGGTAGAGACTCACCAATACCTTTATCTCTGTCATACTTAACAGATCTAGGTCGGATACATCACCATTCCCTCAGGCTAAATATTCCAACATGTATTTATCTGTTTATAGACTACATGTACTTGCAATCAAACTTATAACTTCCTTCTAGAATCTTTTTATTACAGTCATACATTTTAATTTCATAAACTCAACTGCAAAGTAGAAAATGTATTCAAAATGTATTCGATCATAAATGTTTTTCATTATCAATTAGGAAACTTACTACTAAAAAATGTAGATTTATTCCAAATAACAACCTCATTATACCTAAAATTGATCCTGGAACCAAATTATCAGATTTCTTTAAATATACTGTTTATTGTACCAGTTCAGGCTTCATGTGCATCACTGATTTTACAGATCTATTGATTCAGTATGGTGTTCTATAGAGCATGATTTTAGATTTGATTTTTAAACTTCCTGATCTATTACATATATAACTGTATATGCTTTATAGTGTTTATATAGTCAATAACAAATCTATTATTCCGTTTGTCTGTTTTCAGGGGTTTTATATTTTTGCAACAGCTAAGGTCATATCATAATATTAATAAAACTGTCTTTGTATTAAGATATATATTCAAATTTTAAATTTCAATAAATTTCATTCATTATGATGGTAAGATGTAATTCTCAAAACAAAATTGTTTATAGATGTTTAAACGAAAGTACATGTAATTTAAATTTCATGTCATAAATTTTATAAACTTATTACCTCTTGTAAAACAAGCAAATTATATGGTTATCTCGTCTTTGAACTAAAACCTTTATAATCAAGAAACCTATCTAAACCAGACTTCCAACTGATCAATCCTACTCTACATAAGTCGCATAATGCCATATCATATTTGACCTAGTAAGGGTATCGGTTGAGGGTATAACACTTCAAAAATGGACGTGCTACCATACTTCCCAGAACGGACTTTAATGAAAATGGGCCGAACGTAGACACATTTGCTTTATACAACAAACCTCATACAACTCGAATTTTGATTCCTTCTACAGCAGAGGTGTCTTAATTCTATGCCGAAGTTAAATTTCCCATAAATTGTGTGGTAAATTTTTCTGCATTGGTCACAGTATCAGCAGATAATATATCATGGTAGGTTTATTTGTTTTTATTCAATAACTTGTCTGAACTAACACGCCACCATTTTGCTGGTTGCAGTTGTCTAACTAAACAAAACTTACAGGACAACTTTCAGGAATTATAAAATCTGAAACAGTAAAAGTTCAAAAATTTACAATGAAATTTAAAGTTAAATTTCTAAAATCCCAAGGGGCATTCTCATTAGAGTGGGTACCCTTCTTATTATGTCAAATGTGGTATTTCCACACATACAGGTTGATACCTTAAAAAATGTTATTTATAAACTATTGCTAGCCTATAAATACAGCTAAAAATGGCCTTTCTGCTATCTACTTGGTCTTTTTTACAAAGACTCCAAACCAAAAACAAACAAACAAATTGTATTTCAATATGGATCCATCACTGTCAGAAATATGTAAATATTATCATCTGTGTTGCTCAATAGTGACCAATCTTTATTAAAAGGTTTGACATTATTTCACAAAAGAACTAATTCAATGTCCTAGGTTGTATTTTCTACTGTTAACTAGTTTCCATTTTAAGTTAAATGAATTATTCAAAACTGTATTATAAGTGATACATTTTGCAGAATAGATTGTAATGAGTAATGACAGTCCCTATCTAGTAATTTGAATCCACTCCACTAAAATTTATATGCAGGCCATCAAGTATTCATACAAGTGATTCTAAAACTTTCTATTCCAGTCCGCTGTTGTCCTTCATGAAGGATACATTACTCTTATCTATAAACTATAAAGACAGAATTCTGTTATTATAGAATTACATGTGCTATAACAATTAACGAGGCTTCACAACACCATGTTTGTAGATTTCCCACAATATCTACTCAACAGCAACAATATCATCCATATTTAATGGGGCCTAAGTGTTTTTATTATGTGACAAACTTTTCCCATCTGCACATTAAGAACCAAAATTGTGTAGTTCTACATCGTAATCTGTGGAATTGTGTAGGGCATTATTTAGACGGCTATTGAAAATGATGGAAATTTTATCATAGAACTTTAGCTAGAAAATTTATTAATTTAGATTTTGGCAATAAACCAGATCCTAGAAGTATTTTTATTTTATGGCAAAATAGTTTTCAATCGAGATTCCCTAAACATCTACAGTACAATAGGGAGTCAATGAAACTTTCAGCAATCTTTATCTATTTGAAACACTCAGATACACTGACAAGCAATCAGGCTAAATAGCTGTATTGTTCTCAACAAAAATGTAGCTCTATCCCTCTCCTTTTTGTGATCTGTATGACATAATAATCTATTCTATCACCCCTCAGACTCCTTTCTGTGATCAGTATAATACAGGAATATCTATCCTTATACCTCTATACTTACTACAATCAGTAACCAAGAATTACAAACAACATTATAATATACAATCTATTGAACTCTTGTTGACACTGCACATTAAAATTCCACATAAAGTGTCAGTGACAAATATTCAGTAAGTACAGCCACTGATATGTAAACAAATGCATATATCAGCGATTGAGTGCACGTTGAATTACCTCGCTACCAAACACATGTACTTGATTCAAAGCTAATCAGGATCTGATCTTACAGATAAGCTAACAAAAAAGTCATCAGACCGTTCAACAAACTGTCTTAAAAAAATATCCTGCAGCATACCACTTGTCGACACTTATTTTACAAAAGATATTCAACTTACATAAGTTACATGGATATTCTCCAGTTGTATCTGAATTGGTGGCTTCTATCAGTGTATACTGTGTTATTTTAGGAGATTTCCAGTTATGAATAAATGCTTAAATCCTGTGTTTGGGGTCTCACAGCTAACCAGTTCTTTATTAGAATGATATAAATTTAAAATCTATTGTGTTTTATGATTAAAATAAATTGATGATTTATATTCATAACCGACAGCCAATACACAACAACTGCCAAAGCTGTTGGCAGTGTTACCAACTGACAGGACCAGGCCACAAAAGTCAGGTGTTATATTACCGAGCTGTCGCCACCCTATCACACAGGTTGGGAGATCTAATAAACATAGCTGTGTTACTGTATATCTCTAGCTACTGTCCCTACAATTTGGTGCCTACCTGAAACAATATCTATACTAGCAGTGTATGTTAAATTTATGGAATTAAAAAGATAGACTATGCCAACACTACCAATATTCAAAAAAAATACTGACAACTTCCTGAAAGTATCAGTCCAACAGCATTTGATTTTGATTTTGATTTTAACCTGCAGTAAGCCTAAGAGGCCAACTGTTACATATGTAATAATCTCTGACTGCATTTCTCACGAATAGATATAGGTGCAAGGACTTATTACCAGGCATGGGCTTATATTACTGGATAAATATGTAAAATATGATGCAAATTGACGCATGGAGAAGTATTTTTTTTACCCAAGGGATAAATACATTTATCTTAAAACTCTGTTTAAAGGTTTGACAAAATATACATGTAATTATATATATTGGTTTTGATTTTGAGATACTACAACGGAGCCAGATTTACATGAATAAAAAAAAATATTAACAATTTTTTCACTGTAGCATAAATATGTTCAAAAGAATTGATAACATAATTGGTCTCAATGAACCATGCATTTCTGCATGAAGATCACATTTTAGCATTTGCATTCCATATTTAGGCCAAACAAAATAATTGTTGTGTTTCTGCATTTTGTCGCTGAAAAATTAGGATAGGCAGGTATGAAAACTTCTTTTTTACATACAGGTTATAAAGACAGTGTTTCAGACCATAACTACGTACTTATTCAAAGTTTAAATATGGTAGTCAAAAACCCAGTGTTGGTAGGAAAAATGGGAAAACATTACTGACAGCCACCTACAAACATACCTTCCAACATCTTAGCCGAATTCAATTATGGGAGCCTTCAAAGATTCCTGATTATAAAGCTCTGAGGCAAAAAGAGACTTTTTAGAAATAATTAAAATTTGTTGGAGTAGAACTGTGGTCATTATGAACAGAAAATAGGGGATATATTAGGTATTCACACTAACTGCACTTTAAATTAATTATAAACCAGCCTTAAAATTTGGTTCCCGTTGATTTTCAGCAATATTTTGCTGTTTAAAAGATATGAAGGGTTACTTATTTTTCCAGCATCAAAGAAGTTCTAAACTTTGAATGTATACCACCAATAAAAGAAATTCTAAAGATGTGTGCCCATAACAATAAAAAATAGATTCAGATTTATTATGTGTGATTGTGGATGTAGTATATACAGGTGTATTAACTGTACAGGTAATGGCAAGGTAATATGTGACAACCTTTGGTGTGAAAGTAACCAATCCTTATAATTTAAGTTTGCATAATACTACTGCATAAAATGAATTACTTGCAACATTTTTTCACCATTTATGATATAAACACAGAATAAGAGGAGCACCAAGTCTATGTTGTTATTCCTAATATTTTGTTTATTTACATTCCCATTTATTTTTATTATTTTTTCTAACATCATTTATATTAATCAAACATTTTATTTTACACTAAAACAAACTGAACTACAAGGTAAAATTAGCAGGTAGGTGTATTTTTCCCCCTGTAAAGTACATGTACGTGAAACGACTTGGCGAACACATGTCTGTACGGACCTACTACACACATTCACTTCACATTCCATGGAACGACACGCCACCTAATTAATCCACAACGGGAGTTTATGAGCATTAAATGTACCTTACCTGAACACTGTGTCATAGCTAAATAATAACAGATACATACCACTTCCTCGTCTTCTTTAGCTCAGATAATATACAGATGACAATGTGAAAATAGGAGAATGCAGTCAGTGTCTTCAGTTGCTTGGAGACTAGATGCTGTTTTGTGGCACGAAAGAAACAATCTCGAATTCGTAACAGGTGCCCGTTGAATGAGATCTTTCAACTTGTTTATTTTAAATAAATATTGGTTCTGTTATATATTTATTAGATTCCCATTGATTTTCCCACTACTAGTTTTTATTAAATATGTGTAAATACTGGTACATTAACGAAAATAAGATTTCGGATTTGTCTTGACATATCCTTACGTGCTTTGAAATACGGGAAACACCTTCACGCCATTCCTACAATAAAACGTAACAACGTTTTTCATTAGCCATGGAATTTCCTAACTGTCCAATCAGCAACTTCCTATCAAAATATCACAGCTGAGCAATATGGCTACCTGAGATGTCGTTGTGGCAGGGATCAGGTGGAATTAGTGTAGATAAACGATGTATTTCCCGATTGGATGGCCTAAATATCTAAAAGAAGCACAGAGAAATTCCCCACCACTCCAATATGTTATCAGTAACTGTGATCGAATGCTATTTGCTGTCCTTACGGAGGATACTTTGAGTATTTGGTATTGTAAGGTAAGAACGAAGGAGAAAGTGACAGTTTCTATGACATTTTCAGATGGCTTTTTATACACGAAAGACATAGAAACGACCCAATGGAAGTATGTTATGGGCTTTTCTGTTAATTATTATTTGTATTTAATGCAACACAAACTCTGTTAATTAATATTTGTATTTAATCCAACACAAACCTATAGGCCTAGATAACTGTTTATCTATTTCCCATTAGTTTTCTTCGTAACTACAGGTTTTGTACATTTTATGTTGTTGTTCATCACCCCACCCCGTGAGTATGAGTGTATCTAGTGTAATATACTTTATATTATTCCCTGCATGTTGTTTGATTTGGAATAAATGCGCTTGATTAAAAACTATGCTGTTATACTAGGGAATGTAGGAATGCAGAAAGAACAGTTTCTTTGTACATACAAAAAGGGAGAGGAACAATTTAATGACCACCAAGTGCTATCCAGTACAATGATGGCCATCAAGCCTGGCCATACAAGCCCATGTATGTAAACATGCCTGCCAACTCTGGATATAATGAAAGAGGGTGATGACCCTCAGGGCCTCTTTTGAAAACAACAAAACTAAGAAAAGTATATGTAGATTTTAAACTTTAATATTTTAATGATGTAAAAGGTACATCCTACATTCCTTTAACTATGCTTCCAGCAGATCTAGCTGATCCTCATCCTCAATACCAAGTTAAAAGCTGAAAAATAAAAAGATTTATCAACAAGACAACTTATAAAATTAATTCATAATAATAAGTATGATACTGTGTTTTCACAGGCATTTTTTATGTCAATTAAAATGGTCCTGACAATAAGATGTCACATTCTTCTCATATAAAAAAACCATTTTGTTTCTGTCAATAAAAATAGTCCTGACAATAAGAAGTCGCACCCTACTCATAAAAAAAATATCAGTTTTTTCCGAGAAGGGTTTGAATTCTTATTGCCAGCTGGATCATTTTGATTGAAAGAAACAAATCATCAAATGCCTGTGCATGTTTTTGGATGTCTAAGTAACGTCATTTTTAGCACCAGATCCAACTGAAATATGTGATCAACAAAAGAGTGCAGAATGGAGCGTTTGGACTACGACCGCCATACTTTATACACTATAACTCATTTTCCTATGACATTTGATATGTACACAATTAGCTTTTGCTTTTGCATTTCGTGTAGTAGAACCTGCAAGTCCCGATAACGACTTCTTCCTTCAAGAAGGCATAATTACCGTCAAAATACGATCTATACTACGTAAATACAATTGTAAAAACAACTCAATTATTCGTTAAAACACCTCACTAATTACTTGTCGGTAAGTTCAGTAACAACAGTCTTTATAAAAACATTTGTAAAAACAGTTCTTATATGTATATGTATATAACTCGCAACTTACCTTTCGGTGAGAAACGGAAACAGGGAATAGATCGTCTTTCATTTGACAAAGGATGGAAAAGTCTAGATAATTCCGAGTGACTTCGGTAACTTCCTAACTAATATATGAAAAGATTCTGGGCGAAAACGGGTGAAATGGACGAAATCCGGGTCAAAATCGTAACCCGGTGGGTGAAGGGCTTAAATCCCGGGTGTAACCTGACAAAATCGGGTCACTTGGCAGATATGTGTAAAGCATAACATGCTTTCCAACTGGATTTCAGCGATATACTTACCAAGAATCAGAACAATAGGTGTTTTTAAAAGAATAGGAATATATGTTATTATAAGTGTGTATGCCTTGTGTAAAAGAATACACAAGCTTCTTAAGCTTGATGCTGAATTATGCATCAACATTGGTCTGTAACCAGAACTGTATACATATATATACATCCTGGTGTATATGTATTTAAGTACCTAAAACATACAATACCCATTTCTCCTATTTTATTTTAGATTTGTAACTAGTGAACATTTTAACATATAATCAGTAAATCACCAGTCACATGTGTATAAAAAAATGATACTACAATTATGATTTTCCAAAAATAGTATGGAGTTTGAATTCTCACTCAGGCAATGAGAAATGACACTCAGGAGAAATTGAAAGTAACAATATTATACAAAATTGAGAAATGAAATTAATGACATAAACTGCTATATTATAGCAGGTTATTTGTCAGGATCATTATTGTTTTGTTTGAAAAACATTGAATTTACAGGAATATGATGGAAGAAGTAAAATGTTCAAACTAAGTTTCATGTCAATTATACAATTTAGGTATCATTTTTGTATTTTTTTAATACAAATAAGAAATCATGTTAGGTTTTGACCCACCGGTAAGTGCCTACGTGATTAGAACTGATCTGAGTGGGATACTACCTGGCCACCCCAGGCATTGATCATGAAATGGCACTTGTTTGGGAAAGTTCCTGTTCTGATACAAGTGAAGGTTAAGAATTAAATCTGCCTGTTTAGAAACTTTAACTCGGGAAATCTATATATCTATCATAACTTTTACTGCTGAACCTTGAGAGTTTTTGCATATATTATAAATTACGAGTCATGATCATAATTCTGGTTCCATGAACACAATTTGAAAATTCTGAAAAAAATCAACTTACCGGTACATGTATCTGACTGCCCTATCATTATTCTGGATGAAGTGTACATGTCATGTGGGCCGATCAGAGGGCTAGGCCGGCTATTGAGGGAAACTCAGAGACTACACTGATCTTGAAATGTGATCAAATATATTTTGATTAAACTTCATATACCATGTGCAAAGGGGATACAGTTTTACATGTTATTGAAAGTAACATATACTGTATTGGGACAGTCAGCACGATCAAAAGGGCCAGATAAAACAGGGTCAAGTCAATACTAAACCTAAAAACTGATTCACAGATTTTATCTTACTTCATAGAAAGCTTATGGTCAGTGGGATTCAATAAGTGTATGCTTGAAGGTGATGCAGGAGGCTGAGGGATAGACCCATAGAACCAAAACACTCTCCACTCATCCCAGGGGGAAAAACACTCCCCACTCATCCCATGGGAAAAACACTCCCCACTCATCCCATGGGAAAAACACTCCCCACTCATCCCATGGGAAAAACACTCACACTTATCCCTGGGGAAAAAACACTCCCCACTCATCCTAGGGGGAAGAAACTCCCCACTCGTCCTAGGGGGAAGAAACTCCCCACTCATCCTAGGGGGAAGAAACTCCCCACTCACACTCATCCCTGGGGAAAAAACACTCACACTCATCCTATGGGGAAGAAACTCCCCACTTATCCCTGTCTGTCTCTGTCAGATCAAGAAATCAAATTTAAAAGCACCCACAAACCCAAAAGTACCACCCACTTAACAACATATATAGCAATACTTTCTCCAATCGACCCACACAACTTAAAATACTCCATACTCATACAGATTAAGGAACTGAAATTAAAACACTCGGACCAAGGAACAAAAAGAACATTCCCAACTCAAACTACAGAACCAAAAGTTTCCTTACTAAACTCAACCTACAGAACCAAAAGTCTCCTTACTAAACTCAAACTACAGAACCAAAAGTCTCCTCACTAAACTCAACCTCCAGAACCAAAAGTCTCCTTACTAAACTTGACCTACAGAACCAAAAGTCTCCTTACTAAACTCAACCTACAGAACCAAAAGTCTGCTTACTAAACTCGACCTACGGAACCAAAAGTCTCCTTACTAAACTCAACCTACAGAACCAAATGTCTCCTTACTAAACTCAACCTACAGAACCAAAAGTCTCCTTCAGCTTACTAAACTAGACCTACGGAACCAAAAGTCTCCTTAAGCTTACTAAACTCGACCTACAGAACCAAAAGTCTCCTTACTAAACTCGACCTACAGAACCAATAACTCTTGACACTCTTCAAACCAAACAGTACTTAAAGTCAGATGTGAAAAAATTTGAATGTACATGTATTAATCATTTGCATATTAATTTACATACGTATCACCTTAAACAGATTCCTTTGTTGCCTGACTCAAATTGTTTATAGAACAAATATGTGGATTAGTCGACAATAACAGAAATTATAGAAATGCTCGAACTCATGACTTTTGTTTATCAGATTATTCAAACTTTCGTTAATTTCAAAGTTGAAAAAGTAAACTAGCCTACTTTTAAAAGATCAATCTGTCATTAACTTTCATATGTAAAAAAGCAAAACTTTCATTTAAAAAGATTGAATTTAAAAAAAAAAAAAAGAGTTAATTACCTGTAAGTAAGTTTGCTATTTAAGTCATTGTGGAATCTCTAAGTATAGTCCGGATTGCAGTGAGGATTATTGATAGTGTTGTATTGACCAAATCTGTTTCAACTTCCCCATATATACACATGTACACTTGTCCTGATGCACTGTGGCATTATTTTTTTAGTTTAATTTCAAACAAGAACTGTTTAGTATGAGATGCTGTCTTTTTACAAAGTAATTTTTTCCCCTTCCTATCTACACTGATTTTTTTAAGCATTCAATTAGTGGAAGTAATGTTTTTCCTTCATACTGTATCTATACTTGTATGCTGATGTTTTTTAGAGCCGTAAGTGTAATCTTGACAATGATGATTGATGGTCATAGTTGATATATATACATTAATAGTGCTTAAAGATAATAAATCTGGAGCCTATCCGGGTTTTCATATTTTCGGTGTTCCTGCTATGAGGAGATCAAACACCTCACCTTTTGTAGATTTAAAGATGCAATCTGTTTTTATCAGTATATTAAATTGTAAACTATGACTGTGAGGCATGTCTGCAATGAAGCGTGACAACCAACTAGACATTAGATGCCCCACTAAATATAAGTGTGTCAATTTGTTAGTATGTCTTGTTGCCCTCGGCAGGATGTTTGAATACTGTAGTTAACCTCTTGAGGATTCTTACCTTACATATTGTTATATCATCTTTTATGATGATCTGTCAAGGCTCATGATCTGATGACAGAACATTTCCCCTTTGATGACAGAGCTATATGTAGTTGTTTTCATTTAGCAAACATTGTTAATGGATGTTTGCACTACCTGTTGGTGATAGATGTTGGAGATGGCTAAAGTTCTTATTTCTCTCTTCAGGTAAATAAACCAAGAGTCAATACCATAGTGTGTTCTCTATAATCATGTACTCCAGTCCACTGTCTCTAGTTAAGGATCCACGTACCACTGCTAAAAAATGGAATTATGCATTCAGGTTTTTTTCTCCATTATCCCTATATATGGCTTTGATAAATTTATCATTTGTGAAAAGAAAAGTTTACCATGCAGGACTTTTATGAAAACATAATGGAGGTGAAATAAACAAAATATAATCAACAAACGAGCAAGACCGGGATTCTAACCCTGGACTTCAGATTGATATATACCATTTGCTGAAACCTATTAAGCTTACTTACCTAGGCAACGGAAGTGTATGAGCCCAAATATACTGTACAGCTAGTTATATATATCCAAACGGAAGTTAAGGGGAGATTATACTTTCTCTTACCCTGGACAGGTGTATCCGCATTTTTACCGGTGTGAGATTTCCTTGTCTCGCCCTAGGGTTGAGACGGGGGGATTCCCCTATTCCTAACAATGGCATGTCGTCACATAACAATACAATGACGTCACGTCAACAATCCATCAACATCACGTCAACCCTGAATTTAGCATGTAACGTTATCATTACATTGTGCATATGATACACAATTAAAGAACAGGTTAAGAGAAAAAGAATCATTCACCCCCTTGTGGGTGAGAAGGTGGAATCTCAACCCTCCGGGAAAGATTCTTTAGTTGTCAAACACTCGGCAAAGCCTCGTGTTTGGCAACTTAAGAATACTCCCCCTCGGGTTGAGATTCTCCTATCTCACCCCCAAGGGGGTGATAGATTCTATTAGTATTTAGGAAAAACTGCAGTGGGACAGGGATCCTTAAACTCAATAGTAAACTTCAGCAGAATTCCCTATGCCTTGTGTTTGCTCAAATTTGGGTGGTTTTAATTTCTTAAAAAGGTAACAATTATGGCTGCAGTTTTTTTGGGAACAGTATTAACTCTTGTACCATGTCTTGTGCATGTATTGCTGGGGAAGACCTGGAGAACTGTTTCCCTGGGGCTGCTACCTATATATAGGCAGATGTGTTCCCAGCAACTCGGGGGGTACAAAGGTTAAATGAAATAAACAATCATATTAAAACAACAGTTTATATGCTTGCATTGTGTAAAACGTAACAGCATGCAGTTTGTTTCTCCTCCCTACACTAGTATATACATTTACACTGGGATTTCAACAGGTTTTCCCTTTTTTTTTTACAAATATTCTAGTTTAGTAGTAGCAGGGTCCTATTTAACATTTTATGCCTCCACATTTATTTATTTATTAATCAAAGTCTTAACGGTCCAACAACACGATAAATTGATCGGCCACAAGGTAGAAGCTGTATAAATTATGTATATCCACATGATAATCCTGGGGGCTTATGTATTTGTTACCTATGTCTGGCCAATCATACATCCGAGTCAGTGTCTCACATTTATATTGAACACATGTTTAGTGTACATGTATTCAGATGCCAAATGCACCTAAAGTTAAGGTCAGTGTAACTTTGGCCTTAGGCCTGATATACCCGGTAGGTACCGTAGCTCAGGCTATCTGGCATCTGATTCGAAAACAATAATATAATAACCTCTAAATACAACCTTTAGAATTCAAATTTTAATGAAATATATTCGAATTAATGAGGTATGTTTGGAAATAACTTTCGTTATCAGGGCAATTCTGGAGTCATTAAGGGGCTGAAATTTGTCCCCATTCCCAGTGGAAATTGTTGCTGGTATTTCCCAAAATCTGGTAAACACAAAAAAAAACCACAAAAATCAGTATATGTGACCCCCCATCCCCCAATTCCAAAGCCACAGGCCCCAATAAAAAAAATAGTGAGAAAATGCCATGACCATTGGCCTATCACCTAGTTAGCATTTAATTAAGTATCAGGGAACTTGATCATGAAATACTGTAAAGAATATGAACAATGCCTCATTTGGTTAATATCCTTTAAAAAGATGTTTTTGTGTTACAGCCCACAGTACAGATTGTGAACTACACCCAGTCACAGCGCGACCTTGCCTCCCTAGGGGGATTCTGCCTGGCAGAATGGAAGCCCGACTCTTCTATGATCGCGGTCATGGTGAGATAGTCCTTTCTTCCTTTCAAAATTGTCAGTAGAACTTCATATATATACAATGCAATAATCACTTTATTTTACATGTATTTTATTTTGTGAAACAATCATGATTCTCATTTTTATTCGGGGCCGCGGTGGCCGAGTGGTGAAGGCGTCTGACTGTTTTGATCACTAGCCCTCCACCACTGGGTCACGGTGGCCGAGTGGTGAAGGCATCTGACTGTCTTTGATCACTAGCCCTCCACCACTGGGTCACGGTGGCTGAGTGGTGAAGGCGTCTGACTGTCTTTGATCACTAGCCCTCCACCACTGGGTCACGGTGGCTGAGTGGTGAAGGCGTCTGACTGTCTTTGATCACTAGCCCTCCACCACTGGGTCACGGTGGCTGAGTGGTGAAGGCGTCTGACTGTCTTTGATCACTAGCCCTCCACCACTGGGTCACGGTGGCTGAGTGGTGAAGGCGTCTGACTGTCTTTGATCACTAGCCCTCCACCACTGGGTCACGGTGGCTGAGTGGTGAAGGCGTCTGACTGTCTTTGATCACTAGCCCTCCACCACTGGGTCACGGTGGCTGAGTGGTGAAGGCGTCTGACTGTCTTTGATCACTAGCCCTCCACCACTGGGTCACGGGTTTGAGGCCTACATGGGCATTTGTAAGGTACTGGCCGCAGGTTGGTGGTTTATCTTTGGTTATTTTCTTTGCCTCCTCCATCAAAACATGACATATCCTTATAGGTGATGATAGGACCTAAAACAAGAAATCAAACCAAAACGATAATTTTTTATTCGCTAAACTTGTACTTGAATTTGCAATTGAGAGGATGTTATCAGCATTAATAGTATAAGAAATGAATATTTGTGAAGTATTTGAATCTGCAATTGAAAATGAATATACTTACATCTCCTTTCTTCAGGTTAGTAAACTATGACTGCATAAAAGTTAGTGCATAGTCAGTTAAGGCTCCAAATATTGATACTTATTTCCAATATGGTGCTGTTCAGACTTCATCGAGATAACAGTTCAATGACAATCATTGCTAGGTACTGTTGCATGGATGCACATTCAAATTTCTGTGACGTTAAAGTAAACAATGAAGTCATTGTTCTATAACAATAGATCGCATAAATAACAGCTTTTTTAAAAGAAAACAAATGTTTGCAGGGCTACTCAGATTAATTAATTTAAAAGCTATGAAAAGAACAGAAATAGTGTTGTTCACTGTGTATTTTCTAAATTTACTCATACACATATATATATATCAATGTAGAATCAAGGGAACGATATTATTCTAGCAACCACAATTACTGTAGTTACCATCATAGCAACCCACTTTTGCTATTTTTTTCTTTGTACTGCATTCAAACATATTTATTTTTGGATGTAACTATAAGTATTGACCTTCAGTTGATGGCATATACGGTAGTATGAATGCAGTTGCCAATAAAAATACTAGTGTATATGCTGTCAAACTGAAGGTTTATCTTTATTTACCTGCAGGAAAGATACAAAACTCAGAACAAATATACAAACTACCAAAGACAAGGACTCTATCTCTTGTACAGTGACCAATTTGTATGCCCTTTTCAAACTGTTTATGGTTTGGACATTTTCTCATCCTCAATATGTTGCTGTGATAGATATTTCCTATAATGTCAATATGATGATGATCAGTGCATGTTTTCACATTGATTACGGTACGAAACTATAAATTCAGCAAAGCATTTCACAGCATGAACATTTCCACTATTATGATATATAGAGCACACCTGTCAGTTATTTCCAAATCAGGTACAAAAAATGTTGTGAAGTTGATGTTGTTTACTCACAGACGACCAAGCAACATGTGATGTTTTTCAAAGTGGACCTGGACATTTCGGTTGCCAACCATCACTGTCTGTATGTACAGCAGGAGGGCAGGTATGTACTTATAAAGAAGATAAACTTATGCATGATATACAGGTGTAATATTAATTAATAATTGCTTCACAATATTTATCTGGTAACTTCCATGTTTGACTAACTGCTCTACAAAGTGCTTGAAAGTAATTTTCTGTTCCATGCTGTAATTCCTTCTCTGATTAATAAGTAGTTCTTAAAATTGAAATTTCAAATGTGCTTGAATTTCTCTTCAACTTGAAATAGCATAGGCAAGTTGTGTCTGTTCTCCAGTTTTTCACACATTTTTCTTTTGATTGAATTGTAATCTGTTATCCAGCACCATTTTATTAAAATGTAAATACAACCCAAGTTTGTGTTCAATCCATTGATACAACTAAATTATAAACTACACATAGATAAAACCAGAATATTTCAAACACACCAATACAACCATTAAATTACACTCAACACACAGATAAAACCAGAATATTTCATACACACCAATACAACCATTAAATTACACTCAACACATAGATAAACCAGAATATTTCAAACACACCAATACAACCATTAAATTACACTCAACACACAGTTAAACCAGAATATTTTATACACACCAATACAACCATTAAATTACACTCAACACATAGATAAAACCAGAATATTTCATACACACCAATACAACCATTAAATTACACTCAACACACAGTTAAACCAGAATATTTCATACACACCAATACAACCATTAAATTACACTCAACACACAGATAAAACAAATTTATAAACGACATACAAACCACATACAACCAGTCTATATACTAACAACACTACTAACAACACATTATATACTCAATGACACAACACCTACACGTACAACTTCCACAGTCCCCCTCACAACACGCACACTACCAGTGGTCCACACAGAACGTCAGGCAGTCTAATGCCCATCACCTGGAACTTCCTAGCCCGGACTCTCAACCGTGAAGGGTATGATACTTACAGGGAAACTCGTTATTATTTCCGAAGTGTTTCTAGAAGTTCAAGTACTTGTCATTTTAGATGTTCTAGCACTCTTTGTTTTATGAGCTAATTGCATTAATTTGTGGGCAACTGTTTTGGAATAGAGACGAATAGACAGGGGTGTAGAATAACTTCAAATCAACTTGCCAATGATACGTCGGCATAAAAAAATATTTGTCATATTTAAAAATTAGGTTGCTGAATTATAAATAAGCCCCAAAAATGTCTTCAGGTAAGTGTGAATTTAAAGTATTTGAACCTAAAATTGGATGTTCATGATATTAGGCAAGTTGAGTTTTGCATCCCTGAGTAATGGGATATGGGAAAAGTTGTCATGGTAGGATATGTCTTCGTCTATGTATGTCATTCTATTTATTGTACATTATAATGTTGGCCTAATCAATGTTTGTTACAGAGCCCACCCGTCCAAACAGGACTTGAATGGTATCCCGGACAGTGACAGTGTTCCGGCCATCAAACTGACCGCTGTGTTCCAGCTCAAGCTCTCCAGCCAAATAACATGGTCAGCCTATAACAAGCTTATCATAACCTCACCTACAAAGATCTTATCATAACCTCACCTACAATGATCTTATCATAACCTCACCTACAAAGATCTTATCATAACCTCATCTACAAAGATCTTATCATAACCTGACCTACAAAGATCTTATCATGACCTCACCTACAAAGATCTTATCATAACCTCATCTACAAAGATCTTATCATAACCTCACCTACAAAGATCTTATCATAACCTCACCTACAAAGATCTTATCATAACCTCACCTACAAAGATCTTATCATAACCTCATCTACAAAGATCTTATCATAACCTCACCTACAAAGAACTTATCATAACCTGACCTACAAAGATCTTATCATAACCTCACCTACAAAGATCTTATCATAACCTCACCTACAAAGATTAGCTTCACCTGTTACTGTTTAATTATTACACCCTGATGTTGTGTGTATATAAGGCCACACCCCTTTAAGCCTTCCCCTGATGTTATGAATATATAACGCCACACCCCTTTAAGCCTTCCCCTGATGTTGTGAATATATAAGGCCGCACCCCTTTAAGCCTTCCCCTGATTTTGTGTGTATATAAGGCCACACCCCTTTTAGCCTTCCCCTGATGTTGTGAATATATAAGGCCAAACCCCTTTAAGCCTTCCCCTGATGTTGTGAATATATAAGGCCACACCCCTTTTAGCCTTCCCCTGATGTTGTGAATATATAAGGCCAAACCCCTTTAAGCCTTCCCCTGATTTTGTAGGTGTTTATGTGTGAGAGAGGAGCTAGTGGTTGCCACCGCTGATGGATCTTTGAACCGGGTCAAATGGAATGGCACTCTCAACGCCAAGGCTCGCCTAGTCCTTCAAGATATCCCTGTATCACTAGACTTCCAGAAAACTAAAGGTAGGTGTGATTTTCCACTAAAAAAATAAAAAAAAAGTCACTACCATTTTGCAGCGAAACTTTGGCATTATAGAGGGGTTTGGTGTTTTATTAAGGGAGATATAGATAAATGAAAATGGCATGTTGAAATAAGTTGACAATATGTTAGCTGGCATACAAAATAGTGACATCATGTCAAGTGTTTGCTTTAATTTATGATTTTTGACTTTTACCCTCAATGCTTTATTAATAGAAGATGCTTATGTGTACCTTAAACTTTATTACAGATTGATACAACAATTACAAAATACCAAATGTAAACAAACAATTTTGATGCACTTGTGTTTCTCAGTGTTATGTATGATGTTCGTTACAGCTGCCAAGCTGACGGCAGATGACGGCCATGTGGTCCACATGGAGTATAGCCCTATCATTGGTGGCTACATCATGGTGCTGTCAAGTGGGCGTGGCTTGTTTGTCATGCCGCCCTCCTCACGGGTCGACAACAGCGTATGTAGTATAAGTCACCTTTTTGTATTCTTAGGATATTTTGTTGGAAACCTAAAATAAATTCCACTGTAGTTCAGAATCATTTTTGGTGAAAGAATCTTTCATATTTGTTTGCCAAACACATCTGCATATAATATTAAATTTTACAACTAGATGTGTACGCTTATTGATTTCAATGCAATGTTAAGTGGAACTCTGCGAGTTTGACGGTTTATGAAATATTTATCACAGATTTGTTACACCCTGTTATTTATCAAGAGCACAGTTTAGTACAAAATCAAAAAGTTACCTTTCCTGACCTTTGACCTTACGACAGGTGGCTCAGGGTGTTTGGGTACAGGACTTGAAGGATGCCAACTGTCTATGTGTGAACCACCGGTACAGGTTGATGGCCTTTGGCTGTTGCAGGTAGGTCATGGTTACCTGCCACTAGCACAGTAGAACCTTGTTATACTGCCACCATATATCCAGCAAATGTGTGACATTATGAAGAGGTTTTGGGATATATCTGGGGACAATTATAGAGGAATTGTTCTTGAAAAAAGGAATTTGAAAAAATTTCGCAGTAAGCAATGTGCTAAAAAAAACCTTCATAGATGTTCAGGCATTAAATCAGAATGTTTCTAAACAAGCGAAACCAAACCTTGTTAATCTGCCATCATTTGTCCAGGGAAATATGGGTGTAATACAGGGGTTTGCCTTTGTATCAAGGGATATATATCTCTTTTAAGGAAATATTAAGAAAAGAATGGAGCTTTGAAATACTTTGCTGGTAAGCGGGATGGAAAATGACACTAGGATGGTTATATTAGGTATTACCGTAGTTCACAGTGCAACTTTCCATAGATGTGTCAAATGACAAACTCATAGGTAACTGAGAATCAATAAAGGCAACAATTTATTCATTTCCATTTCTACTCAAATGATTTACTTATATTTACTTTTTGATTGATTGGTAAACAACAATTTTTGAATGTTTGTATTATTTTGTAGCGGTCATGGACATGTGTATGTTATCAATGAATTGGAAGGAACTCTAGAACTGTCACATAAGCTGACCGTGTCCAGCAGGGATTATCCAGGTAAAATGTTCCCTGTAATTGTCACATAAATTTACCATATCTCACTGGGATAATCCAGGTATCATGTTTCCTAGACTTGTCATATAAACGTCCCTGTCCAGCACAGATTATCTAGGTTAACTGCTTCCTGGAACTGTCCTTTAAATTGACCATGTCCAGCAGAGATTATCTAGGTTAACTGCTTACTGGAACTGTCCTTTAAATTGACCATGTCCAGCACAGATTATCTAGGTTATCTGCTTCCTGGAACTGTCCTTTAAATTGACAATGTCCAGCAGGGATTATCTACGGTAACTGCTTCCTGGAACTGTCCTTTAAATTGACCATGCCCAGCAGGGATTATCTAGGTTAACTGCTTACTGGAACTGTCCTTTAAATTGACAATGTCCAGCAGGGATTATCTACGTTAACTGCTTCCTGGAACTGTCACTTAGATTCACCTCAGTAAGTTTTATCCAGGTAATTTCTTTTTTCGGAGTATCACATATATTAATGATAAAAAAACATTTGAGATTCTGTATTAGATCTAAGGAAAGCTGTCTCTTCTTGTTAATACTATAAAAATACATGCTTTAGCAGTACAGTAATTATATTCTAGTGCTCTTTGCACTTAAAATACTTCACTGAAATATGATTATGTTTATGACAGTTTCTGAATATTGTTTCCTATTGCATATATGTATTGTGGGGTGTTTATATGTTTCAGATGCAGCACAGACTGCAGGGCCGGTACGCTGCCTGAAATGGACACCAGATGGCACTGCATTAGCAATGTGCTGGAGAAATGGTGGTTTTTCCCTGTGGAGTGTGTTTGGCTCCTTGTTGGTGTGTTCTCTTGGCGGAGACTACTGGTATGTCGGTCAAGGACCTATTACAAGAAGAAATGGAGTAATAGAAATTTAGTATTTGGTTTAGCTGAGATATGAAACAGTCAAGGAATCTTTTATTTACAGGTTTACATTTACAAACTATTTCCTTGATACATTTGGTGGTCAAATTTTCCTGTTCAACTGTGAAAATCAGGAAATGCTGAGGCTTATATATCAGTCAGTTTCCCTATTACAGATTACATATCTCAGGGAAATAATGACTCGTAGATAAATAACACAAACACTCAAATTTAAAACTGAAGCAAATTTAACGTATAAGGATTTATGATAAACATGGAAAATGTGTATTTTGGGCATTTATTGGATGATACTGGTATGTACAGTGATATTTTATGATTTTTCAGTTTCCCAAATGATGGTGTACGTCTGTTCCCGCCTCCCATCCGCTCATTGGTAAGTTTTCAGTTGTCTTCTAAGTTCTTTACTGGGTTATCACACATTAAGATAAAATAGAAAAGTTTGGTTTGGTCTACAAATAGTCTATTTGATAAACACTTTTTTGTTTGTTATATCTAAATTGAAGTTTATATAACAGGAGTGGGGCCTGGAGGGCTATCAGTTGTGGATGGTATGTGAGACGGTAGAGACGGAGGAGGAGGGGTATGTCGGTTACCATGGACACCGGGATATGTCCCACATCATGCAGCTCCAGTTTGTAAAGAGTGCTTTAACCGTCAACCCATGTATGGTAAGTTGTTATCATAGATCGATGTAGTCTCTGTTGTTTGTTGTTTTTGGCAGTATAGGAAAACCTCATCACACTGCCACCATTTATCAAACAGAATAAATATTGGCATTATAAAGGGTTTCCTTGATGCATATACTAGATATATGGATGGAGACAAATATTAAGAAAATATATGAAAAAGGAAAAAGGACCATGAAATAAGCTGCAGTATGCCTGGTGGTAACTTAAACATTATGTCTTAAATTTTACTGTATTTTTGTGTACTGTGTTTTATAGCTATTTGGACTCTTTTCTATCTCTAGGCCAACCACGAGCATGTTTTCCTACAAGGGGAAGACAAACTGTATATGAACACCAGTGATGTTTCCCAGAAGTCTACTGGTCGCACAGAATCTCACTTACTTGTGGGCAACAAACATTGGCAGATCATACCCATCTCCCATAGCTACCTCGCCACCAACTGGCCAATCAGGGTAGGTGGTACAATTGCCAATAATTGCAGATCATACCCACCTCCCATAGCTACCTGCCACCATCTGGCCAATCAGGGTAAGTGTTACACTTGACAATAATTGCAGATCATCCCCATCTCCCATAGCTACCTGCCACCATCTGGCCAATCAGGGTAAGTGGGACAATTGCCAATTACGGATAATACCCATCTCCCATAGCTACCTCCCCACCACCTGGCCAATCAGGGTAAGTGGGACAATTGCCAATTACGGATCATTCCCATCTCCCATAGCTACCTCGCAACCAACTGGCCAATCAGGGGAAGTTTTACAAAAAACAATAATTGCAGATCATCCCCATCTCCCATAGCTCCCGGCCACCATCTGGCCAATCAGGGGAAGTTTTACAAAAAACAATAATTGCAGATCATCCCCAACTCCCATAGCTACCTCGCCTCCAACTGGCCAATCAGGGTATGTGGTACAATTGCCAATTACGAATCATACCCATCTCCCATAACTACCTCGCCACCAACTGGCTAATCAGGGTAAGTGGTACAATTCCCAATTACGGATCATACCCCTCTCCCATAGCTACCTCGCCTCCAACTGGCCAATCAGGGTAAGTGGTAGAATTGACAATAATTGCAGATCATTCCCATCTCCCATAGCTACCTCCCCACCACCTGGCCAATCAGGGTAAGTGGGACAATTGCCAATTACGGATAATACCCATCTCCCATAGCTACCGGCCACCATCTGGCCAATCAGGGTAAGTGATACAATTGCCAATTACGGATCATGCCCATCTCCCATAGCTACCTCCCCACCAACTGGCCAATCAGGGTAAGTGGGACAATTGCCAATTACGGATCATGCCCATCTCCCATAGCTACCTCGCCTCCAACTGGCCAATCAGGGTAAGGGGTACAATTGCCAATTACGGATCATGCCCATCTCCCATAGCTACCTCCCCACCACCTGGCCAATCAGGGTAAGTGGGACAATTGCCAATTACGGATCATTCCCATCTCCCATAGCTCCCGGCCACCATCTGGCCAATCAGGGTAAGTGGGACAATTGCCAATTACGGATAATTCCCATCTCCCATAGCTACCTCGCAACCAACTGGCCAATCAGGGTAGGTGGTACAATTGCCAATAATTGCAGATCATACCCATCCCCCATAGCTACCTCGCCACCAACTGGCTAGTCAGGGTAAGTGGTACAATTCCCAATTACGGATCATACCCCTCTCCCATAGCTACCTCGCCTCCAACTGGCCAATCAGGGTAAGTGGTAAAATTGACAATAATTGCAGATCATACCCACCTCCCATAGCTACCTGCCACCATCTGGCCAATCAGGGTAAGTGGTAGAATTGACAATAATTGCAGATCATCCCCATCTCCCATAGCTACCTCGCAACCAACTGGCCAATCAGGGGAAGTTTTACAAAAAACAATAATTGCAGATCATCCCCAACTCCCATAGCTACCTCGCCACCAACTGGCCAATCAGGGTAAGTGGTACAATTGACAATAATTGCAGATCATACCCATCTCCCATAGCTACCTCGCCACCAACTGGCCAATCAGGGTAAGTGGTACAATTGCCAATTACGGATCATACCCATCTCCCATAGCTACCTGCCACCAACTGGCCAATCAGGGTAAGTGGTACAATTGCCAATTACGGATCATTCCCATCTCCCATAGCTACCGGCCACCATCTGGCCAATCAGGGTAAGTGTTACAATTGACAATAATTGCAGATCATACCCATCTCCCATAGCTACCGGCCACCAACTGGCCAATCAGGATAAGTGTTACAATAGACACTGGCAGATCATCATATGGATGGGTAATTGCCTCTTGATGTCTGAGTATTTGTGCAATTTTAGTTTGACTGTTACTTAGGAGAATTGCCAAAACATGTGGGAATGGGCAAAGTCCAATAATAAAAAACAACACTCTTGAACACAATGGTTCAAACCACTGCTATTCTATTCTTGACCTTGGTCATTGACCTTTAATCCACTTTTGATTGCTGACCCCTGTTTCAGACCTTTCACTTTTTATTGGTGACATCAGACCCTTATGTTTCTATGTCAATTTAATGTCTGTGTTTACAGTATGCGGCAGTGGACAGAAGTGGTCAGTATCTGGCTGTGGCCGGTAAGACTGGACTTGCCCACTACAATTTTCTCAACAGGAAATGGAAGCTGTTTGGTAACGAGACGCAGGTATGATAGTTTCATAATTTGGTTTCAAATATAGGTACTTAAAGACTCTCTGTGATTATTATCATTTAATCTCTAAAATTTGTCATGCTATCATTTTAAACTTGCCTATGTAATGTTTGATGTCTCAGTCCAAGTGATGCGTGATGTCACAGTCCAAATGATGCTTGTTGTCTTAGTCCAAATGATGCTTGATGTCTCAGTCCAAATGATGCTTGATGTCTCAGTCCAAATGATACTTGATGTCTCAGTCCAAATGATGCTTGATGTTTCAGTACAAATAACACAGCTTTTTTTGTCAATCACTCAAACAACTATTGTTTTGTATGATATTGACTCTATATGATATAATGACAATCCGGTGTTTCTCTACAGGAGCGTGACCTAGTGGTGTCAGGGGGTATGGCTTGGTGGAAAGACTTTATATGTGTGGCGTGTTACAACATTGTGGGACAGAGAGATGAGGTAAGTACGGAAATCTTGTGACTAATGATACTACCTTGTTAACAAGTAGCAAGGGATATAAGTATGCTGTTTTTGTTAGCTTACATGTTACTACTGATCATGAGCTAATGCTATCCTCTAGTGTGTTTCAATGTCAAACCTGAAACTGGAAAGTGGAAAGTTTTGGTCTACTTTTTAAATGCGTCCAGCTCCAGGTGACCCTATACCTTTTCACATACAAATCAAACTCAAACCTTTTTGATGAAAGGAGAGTGCACTAACTTCTATGACATTCGACCACCCTCTAAGTATTGGAGAACAATGCAGTTGGTCAGGGGCTTATAATTTGATATCATTGTGTTTGGTTTATATACATATATCATAAAATAACATTACAGTAAACAAGTTTGTAGTTGATGTGTGTCTTTCCTTTCCAGATTAAGTGCTATCCACGGAGCAGTAAACTAGACAATACGTTTGCCATTAGCACAAAGGTGCCTTCCCAGGTTCTGTTACTAAACACGTTCCGTGACATTCTCATTGTGTTCTGTATAGACTCTCACATCATGTTATACAACCTGGAGAGAAAGAATACTCAGTCCAGTAAGTAGGATATCATCCATCTTGATATCATATCACTTAGTTAAGACAAAGTATAATTTGATTTTAATCACATATATTACAGGACACTATAATTCTAGAATATCATGTTTCATATTTTTGCGGAAATTTGTGTTATAATTCATTAGGGCTATCATCTTTTGCTTTATTTGATAAAAAGAACTGGAAGTCAGGAATATAAATACCTACAGTATAACCTGTCAAAACTGGCTCCCATCTAGTCCAAATATTTGTTAAACTGGCCAAAGTTACACTGCAGTACATCACATAAATGGTACACAATTTCCATTTCTCATGTCATATGTTTTGGTTCTATTACACTCTATGACGTTTTGTAGATCCACTGTTGGACATTAACAAGGTACAGGAGGTTTCCCTTAACAACTACGTTCCCCACCCCGTGTGTGTAACAGGTCTGGCCCTTACCTCACTGAAGACCGAGTATGGTAAGATTATATGTATTTTGTAATATTTTGATTAGTGTGTACTTTGGTATTGATTTACCCATACCACACAACAGTCAACCGAAATTGATACCAATAACTACACGACAAGCAGGTCGAGTAAGTTCAGTCTGTACTGCCACCATTGATTCAGCAAACTATTGGCATTTTCAGGGGTTTAGATATAATATTGAGGGAAGAAGTACCAATACATAATTATTAAGAAAAAAATAAAAATGAACCCTTGTAATACATTGGTGATAAATGAACCAGAAAACATGGTGTTGCAGTTTTACTGATACATTTTTCCTAAGGCTAGTCTGCACTTGACGTAAAGAACAAATCTGACTTGAAAATAATTCTTGGAAAAAACCCTGAAATTTACAGGGTTTCATAATAAACTGCCTTCTTATAACATACTGGGTATAGTGAAGATTTGCATCTCTTGTACAAGGTTTCATTATACAAAGAATGTTCTGTAATTTTGTTACAGGTACAAGGTCACACCATAACAACAAGGAGGCTGAGAGCCTTCTGCTGAGTGTGGCGGGGAAACTACTCATGTTCCAGCGTGATATATCAGGGCCACAGGTCAATGATCAAAAGTTGAATCAAACTAAGCACAAACCGGTAAGCTTGTTATCATTAATATTTAATTTTGTTTATTGAGTAAAAACAATCTGTTTGCAAATATCAAAATCACAGGTAGGTGTTTCTTAGCTCACCTAACACAAAATGCATGTGAGCTTATACGATAGTATGGCATTTGTCATCTGTCCGTCCATCTGGCTAGCTTTACAATGCAAACAAACAAAAACCCAGACACAGGATTTTGCAATTCTCAAAAATAATTGGAGTTTATTACCAAACAATCCCCATATGCTTGAACGAGAGGGGAAAAGTTGATGGGCTTATAATTTTTGCATATATGTAGCAGAATACCTATTACTCCAGATTTACAAATTTTAACTTATAATTGCCCAACTCAGAATGTTTAATAGATACCTCGCGAAACGTTTCAGAAGTTGAATCATTATCAAAGAATCTAGACTGCGACATCTGAACTGCGGTTGATATCTTGTCACTAAAACAGAAGTTTTGTTGTTTTCAGCCGCAGTTTTGTCCACCGTCAGTTGTAGCCACCAACGTGGAGAACATGTGGACAACTTCACGAGCCAATCAGGGTAAAATGCAGCTAATGGAGGCTTTGTGGTTGGGCTGTGGAGCTCAGGGAATGAAAGTGAGTAAAGAAAAATGTTGTAGGGATTGATTGTAAACTCTGTAGTTTTTAATTTATAAATACAAAAAGTAATCAAGACTACCCCCTGTTATCCAGAATTACACTACTATCTTACTGGTGACTTCTACCATATATAATTGCGGTATATCTTGCATGCTTTAATAGTATCCAATTTTTGCTTTATTTGCAAGATAATGAAATTGCATAAAAGAAGAAAGTGAACATTTGATTACAAACTGAAAAATACCACACACTAATGTGATAGCATTGGATTGGGGATAAAATCACAAAATTAGAGCGTGGAAGTTTTATTTTGAACTAATTAATGAAATTGGCATCACATGTAAATAACTTGATGTATCATAATTAGCTCCGAAGGACCAAGGTGAGCTTAAGTCATAACGTAGCGTCCGTCGTCCGTACATCAACAATTTCTTCAAACAACTTCTTCTTCTTAACCACTGATTGGAATTTAACTAAATTTGACTGGAAGCATCCCTAGGTGGTGGGGATTCAAAATTGTACAAATGGTGGGGCTGACCCCCCCCCAGGAGACTGAGGGCGGGGCCAACAGGGGTCAATTTGGCTATATTGCTTTAAGCGATTTCTTCTCTGGAACTAAGAGATGGATATCAACGATATTTGACTGGAAGCATCCCTAGGTGATGGGGTTTTAAAATTGTACAAATGGTGGGGCTGACCCCCAAGGGGACTGAGGGCGGGGCCAAAAGGGGTCAATTTGGCTATATTGCTACAAACAACTTCTTCTGTAGAACTATGCCACGGATATCAATCATATTTGCTCAAAACCATTCATGGGAGGCAGGGATTCAAATTGGTGTGGCTCCCCCCCCCCCCCCCCCCGGGGCTAAGAGGTGGGGCCAACAAAAGTTTATTAGTTGGAAATGGTTGAGATCCCCACCATATAACCATATATTCAATCGCTGAGTATAAAGAGAAGGATGCACATTTGCTTCCAGGATGGCCCTTGGGTCTTGCCCCACCCATGGAGACATAGTCCCTGGGTCATAACTTTGAAACGGAAATGGTTGAGATCCTCATCCCAAAACTATATATACAATTGTTGGGCATAAAGAGACAAATGCAGTCATGATATTAGACTTGACCCCAGGGTCTGCCCCACCCTTGCAGACTTAACCCCTGGGTTATAACTTTGAAACAGTTGAGATCCCCACCCCAAAACTATATATACAAATGCTGGGCTTCATATTAGAATTGATCCTGGGGTCTGGCCACAACCCTAGGGACCTCGTTTCTGAGTCACAGCTGGAAACAGTTGTGATCCCAACCCCATAACCATACATAAAATTGCTGGGCATGAAAAATCTAATACAGATATGCTACAAGGATTGGCCTTGGGGTCTGGCATATTCTTGCTGTGACTAACACTTTATCAGTAAGGTATTTGTATTTCCAATATATTTTTCAGGGCACAACATAGGACAAATGAATCCTCCCGTAAATATAATACTCCTACTGTACCTGTCTGTTTGTTTCTTCTCAGGTGTGGCTGCCACTTTACCCGCGTGATGAAACTAAGACTTTAAGTTTCATGTCCAAAAGAATTATGCTGCCGTTTAGGGTGGATATATACCCATTAGGTAAGACTTACACAAAACAGACAGGTAAACTCATTATGTAGATCTTTATATCATTCAATATAGAATGAAATCCTAATTAATCCTCCACTGGTATAACATGAGGAGATTATAGGTTTGCACTCAGTCTGTCCAACCATGCAACACTTTATATCTCTTAAGTCCGATCTTGTACCTGATTATATAGAGTTAAGTCCCTTAATTCATATCTCATACCGAAGTTTGCATGAAGGTGTGGGACTATGGATTGCATGACACAATTTTTATTGTTTATTAAAAGAATGACATATTTCTATTCTGGTTATGCCACAAATGATCAGTTTTAATATGCGAAAAAGACAGGATTTTTGTAGGTTATTACATACATGTATATATATGGCATTACCAGAAAAATGATATCTTGATAACTCTGTATGATTTCATTTTAATGGCAAAAAAGTGGTTTTTGTATGCATAGTTAGTTGAATTTTATGCGTTTTTGCAACATTAATGTAAAAGGTATCACCTGTTCACCCTATCAATACACCTGTCTGTTTATACCCTTTCAATTAAGCTCCTACACTACAAGATCAACAGTCATCAAGCTTCTTATGTGTATAAATCATAAGGAACATAGGAATATTTCACTAGTTGTTTTTGATATAGTATGAAATAAACTGTGAAGTTGTATTGTGTTGTAGCCGTACTGTTTGAGGACGCTGTGATATTAGGAGCCGCCGGGGATGCTTTAACTTACCAGCACAACTCCCCGAGTGATGCCGCCTCCCCAAAGAAACCTACACATTACCTCCCCTTCTGTATACTGGAGAGAACTGTAAGTTCTATAATACTTCATGGTATAAGATATTTTGTAACCATTATCAGATGGTGGGCTTTTCACATCACCGTGCTTCAGTGGTCCGTTCTCTGTCATTCCGTTCCTCCTTAAACAATTCTTGTTAGCGCTATTTCTCAGAAAGAACTAGAGTGATCTTTATCAAATCTCACAGGAAGGTTCCCCATGGTCCCTAGTTACGCATATCAAATTTTGGGACATTAGCGAAAACCAAGATGGCCGACAGACGGTTAAAGTTAGAGTTAAAGTTTGTTAGCGCTATTTCTGGGAATGTTCAGGAGGGGTCGTTCTGAAATTTCACATGAAGGTTCTCAATGGTTCCTAGTTCCGTATTTCGAAATTTGGGAATGATTGGAAAACCAAGTTGGCTGGCAGGTGGTCGTATTGAATTTGTGAGTAAAAGTTTTTTAGCCCTGTTGCTCAAAAAGTATTGGAGGGATCTTTCTCAAATTTCACCTAAGGGTTCCCCTTGGTTCTGAGTTATGCATGTGACATTTTTGGATTGATCTGAAAACTAAGATGCGAACAGGCGGCCATCTTGTTACAGTTTCAGTTTGTTATTGCTATTTCTCGGAACTTACTGGAGGAATATTTCTCAAATTTGATATGTACGTTCCCCTTGATCCTGAGTTGTGAATGTCAACATTTGAGGTTGATCAAAAGACTAGTTAAGATGGTGGACAGGCAAACTGATCAAACAGATAAGAGAAAAGAAGAGGAAAGATTGAACTGACAAAGAACTAATGAAGATAGTACAATGTTGGGTGCCAAGATCCCTTTGGGATCTCTTGTTTGATATGAAATGCCATCTGCCTAGACAATAGGATACTCTACTTGACAATGGGCACTGTACCATGTTTTGGTCCATAGGAAACATTGTGTGAATGAAGAGTTGTGCTCCTTGCATAGAGAACACTCTACATTCTTCTCTTATTTCATTGTTGTCATCTTCCATGACGTCAACAACCATGGTTAAAACATAAAATTTGCTTTTGTTGTGGTGATACTACAAAGTGCAGAGATAAACTGGCAACCAAGGTCTCTGTAACTGTATTGAGAGAGTTCATGAAATAAAGGAAAGATGGAAATGACAATTAGCAAGTAATACTCATTACAGAATTAAATGGTTTATTGACTGATTTCTAACTTTATTGTAATGTCAAAAACAAAGTAGATATAAAAGAGTTCACGAATTACTGCCTTGTATGTAACTGTATTATGTGGTTTCTTTATTTTTTTTATTTTTTTATATGATGAAGATATGTTGTTTATATTTCAGAGTCAAATATACCTACATCATATTCTCAGACAGCTGTTACGGAGGAAGTAAGTAAAACTGCCAGTCTTACATAATACTGAAATCTCATATTTGTCATGAATATTTTTATAAAAAAATTATAGCAACATGATCAGAATTGATGGCTGATATGTATCTGTGTTTTATTTTGATGTATTTTATGCCACAGTGGTGAACCATCTAGTCACATATTACTGATTCGGCAAGAGGAAATTTCCTTCAGCTTAATCAGTAGGGCACCTAGTAATCTGTAGGTGTTGGGCTGAGTCTAGTGGATGCACTTGCAAAATGTGATCTCAGTTTCATTTGTTGTACCACTGATATTGGGACTGTAACCTTTGTCCTCCTTTGTGACCTTGTGATCTGTAACCTTTGACCCCTTTTTGTCACAGCCTGGGAGTGAATGCACTTGACCTGGCCAGGAGTTGTACGGAGCTTTCATACTTCCCCCACGTGCTGGAACTTCTACTACACGAAGTCCTGGAGGCAGAGGCCACGACTAAGGAACCCATTCCTGGTGAGATCACAAATATGTATCACATTCACATGGACAAATTCAAGATTTCTAGAATTTAAAAAAGATCCACTCTTGGTGACATCATAATCTTGCATTTAATGTAAGGAAATGTAAAGCTGAATTTTACTTTTTGAAATTGAATAAATTACATGTTTTAGATTTTTATTTCATAAATTGATTGCAAGATGTTGATTAGGATAAAAAAAAAAACTTTGACCCTGAACATGTACCTGAACATTGAAAGTGTTATATTTTTAGAATCATTTATGTAATTATTACGTCTCATCTGTGACTGCAAATTTGGTTGTACAGTGGAATTTGTATTGAGAGATAGTAACTTTGTTAGATATGGATAATTTACTTTTTTTTTTAAATTTGGTCTGTTATCTTCATTTTCCAGACCCTTTACTGCCAAGAATCGTTGCATTTATCCAGGAATTCCCAGAATTCCTACAGACTGTTGTCCATTGTGCCAGGAAAACGGAGGTGGCTCTATGGCCGTATCTGTTTTCATCTGTGGGAAACCCAAAGGACCTATTTCAGGTAGTTCTATCAAGACTTTTTTGCTGGTCTTATATTGATTCACAAGATTACCATTAGGATGAAATCAGGATAGAAGTGTTTATCTAGACTGTTGGGTAATGGAAAAAACTTAGCGTCCCAAGAACTATCTTCCTCTTAACTGGTTCTGTAATTTTGAAAAGTGCAATTTTATCACTATGCTAATTTTTTTATTTATTTTTTAAACAATATCACCAAGTGTTCCATTCACCCATGTATACTTTCGCTATGAGGTATGTGTTCTTTTACGTGTTTGTTCCTGTAATGCAAACTATATACATACCAGGTATATGACTTCATACTAGAAAAAGGACATATATTTCAGATGTCAAAACTGATGACGTTCATAATAATTCATAAATCTGTACTGAAAAATGTGTCATTATAAATACATGAAATATGAAAATAAATGAATATAGTTTAAGATGTTTTATAATACTTGTGATTTGTTCAGGAGTATCAATTACATTGATTAGAACTTCACCACTTCCCCAGTATTTAGAGTTTATCAGAGCTCCGAGCTATTTCCACTCTGTTTGCTTCCTTTAGATAGGTAATCTCTATTTGGTCACATGTGAGATGTCATTGACAGAAATTAATGTATTATGTGATATTACAGGAGTGTTTGATCAGTGGAAACTTAGAGACGGCAGCTTCATACCTCATCATCCTACAAAATCTGGAAAAACCCATCGTCAGCAGACAGGTGAGATATAAAATTTAAAACAGGTGAGGGTTGACGCTGAGATATTTAACGATCAGCATATCGGTACAACAAATAAAAACAGGTGAGGGTTGACGCTGAGATATTTAACGATCAGCATATCGGTACAACAAATAAAAACAGGTGAGTAATGCAGCCCAGTGAGTTCAGATGTTCACTGAGCTTGTCACTGTCTACCAAACCGATTTTTCCCAGATATTTAAAACCCAGTTCTCATGTTAAATTTACTGTCTTAAGCAGCATTTCATTAAGACAAACTTTTATTTTGCAGCATGCCACCTTGTTACTTGATTCATCATTGGAAAAAGGAAAATGGGATTTAGCTCGAGACTTGGTTCGATTTCTTAAAGCAATAGGTAAGACACGTTATGTTGTATTTCACCTCCATTGTGACCAGCTTTACTTTCAAATTTAATCATTAACTTGCTTTATAGGTTTGTTCAAAACTGAAATAGGAGACGTTGTTTGTATGTAGTAGCAATTTTGCTGAAATTTTCTTTCCTTTTTCTTTTCTTTACTGTTTACATATAAGAAGTATTTGATAAACCATATTTATTTGTCATAAGATCCTTCAGATGTTGACTCGCCCACCCACCTGTCCTCACATGGTCGTGCCTCGGGCTACCCCAGCCCCCCCCTATCCCCGCCTGACGCGGACGGCTTCAGCTTCACCAATGTTAGCAATGTCAGTAATATTAACCGTGTACGAAGCTCAAGTGTGACCTCTACAGACTTAGTTCAGAACGTCAAGGTCAAGGAAAAACTCAAACACACTGTTTCAGACAACCCAGCCCATGGGAGAAGGTCAGTACTTATAAAAATTTAATTTTCATAAATTAATTTTCTCCTATACGAGTAATTCTATGTAAATTGTGATTCTAGTTCAAATGAATCTTTTTTTATTTATGCTGGCATATTCCTGGCCCTATATTGTAACTAAAACTTTATGATGGGCGTCATATATCAAGATTATATTTAATGTTATTTGTAACATGTATATTTATGTTCTAGTACTTGATATATTTTTTATGGTCCAACCTCCTCCAGAGACCACTTGTGTTAAAAGACTACTTTAAAAACTTCCTCATTCAGTTATTTCTAGGTTAACTTATCCAGAGTTAAAGGACTACCTGCAATAAGAGCTCACGTTATGGACTATCCAGAGATGGACTCTGAGTACTAGTTTGATGGTATAATAATTATGTTATATTTGCCCTTCAGGATGTCCCCAAAGCCTAAAGATGATTCCTCAGCCGACCAGGTATATATAGATATTATTCTGTGTCGCCACTGTCGACGCCTTACCGAGGCAAACAGGATGCGAGACTTGGGCTACTTTGCCGCCAATATGGAGGATTTTCAACTTGTGTCCTGGCTCAAACGAGAAAGGTATGTATATAATGGGACAAAATCATTCCTAGTTTTTGTGGGTTTTATTTGCTCTGTGTTAAGTTATTGTAAATGTTCAGGTGTTTGGTAATAAACACAATGTATTGTATGCTTAGTTAACATGAACTAACATTTTTAAGTCTCAAGTGACCTATTGCGATCGCCTTTTGTCGGCATCGTCCGGCATCCGTTGTCCGTCCGTAAACAATTTACATTTTCGACTTCTTCTCCAAAACCCCTGAACCAATTTCAATGAAATTTTGCAGAAACCTTCCATGGCCAAAGGTCAACAAAAGCAGTGGCTAATTTGGTCCCAAGCCCCCAGGGGCCTGAGGGGCGGGGCCAAAAAGGGTCAAATTGACTAAAATTTCAAAAATTTCTTCTCAAGACCCAGATATGGTAGAATCAAATACTCTTCATAGATGGAAGGGTCTTAAGGTGCTTTACCAAAATTGTGAATTTCTTGACCCTGGGGTCTCACGTTTACCCCTGGGGAGGGGGTAAACTTTACTATAGTTTATATAGGGAAATCACATTTTGGACCAACATTTGTTTAATTTCCATTGGAAGTAATTCAATTTAGGTTAGCATTATCAATATTGGATAGCAGTTTGATGGTATGCACATATGAGCCCTGACTGACCCCCAGGGGCTGATGGGTGGGGCAAAAAAAGGTCGAATTGACTGAAATTTCAAAAATCTTCTTCTCAAAGACCCAGATATGGTAGAATCAAACACTCTGCATAGATGGAAGGGTCTTAAGGTTTATGACTCTAGGGTCTCACGTTTACCCCCTGGGGAAGGAGGGGGGGGGGGCAAAATTTATTATGGTTTATAATGGCAAATGATACTTTGAATATTACATGTTAATAACTTGATTTGAATTATAACCCTGAGTTGATACTTTGAACATTTTGAGCCAGCTCTACACCCAAGGGTGCCCAAAGGAGTCAGTGTGCTAACATTTCTTCATTTTCCTTGTTTAGAATCAGAGGTGCTAGTTTCAAATACTTTTCAGTCTTAAATCTGTATGCTAGATATTGAATAAGGTGGTTTTATTGTTTTTTGTCACTTTGAATAATATTTCTGTTCATGTTAAAAACAAAATCAACTCTCTGTATAAATATATCAGGTGGCCGTTAAGGCCCATGGGCCTCTTGTTAGAGTATCATTTCCTTTTCTGCAATATTTACTTTTGGTACTTAACGTTGTGTAATAACAATACTGCTATAACAAGGTTGCGAGCAGCGAAGGTTGAGGACTTCGTGACAGCTTTAAGGGACCTTCACCAGCAGTTCCAGTGGCCTTTCCCTATACTATCCTACTCTGCCTTCCAACAGCTTAAAAACAAAACATGTAAGTACAGTAGCACTACTTTGTCTTCATACTGTAATAATGTCACCAACACAAGTTGCGTTGAAGTGGCTGTGTCTGGGATATATGATGTCCAGATCTGTGGTGTTGTTATATCAGAAATATTTCCTATCCATTGTAATGTGAAAATAACACTGGAGTGAAAACTTCAAACTTGATATAGCTTACTGGTATCTATTCTTCTTTTAGCCAAGGAGTCCAACACATAGTCTCTGACTCAAAGTAGGTAGATGGAATTAGACAATGAATTATCATTTGTTGGCATTTCTACTGAACTGCAGTAGGGTATGGGTATAAGGGTATATACAGTAGGGTATGGGTATAAGGGTATAAGGGTATATACAGTAGGGTATGGGTATATACAGGAGGGTATGGGTATAAGGGTATGGGTATATACAGTAGGATATGGGTATATACAGTAGGGTATGGGTATAAGGGTATATACAGTAGGGTATGGATATATACAGTAGGATATGGGTATATACAGTAGGGTATGGGTATATACAGTAGGGAATGGGTATAATGGTATATACAGTAGGGTATGGGTATATACAGTAGGGAATGGGTATAATGGTATATACAGTAGGGTATGGGTATATACAGTAGGGAATGGGTATAATGGTATATACAGTAGGGTATGGGTATATACAGTAGGGAATGGTATAAGGGTATATACAGTAGGGTATGGATATATACAGTAGGGTATGGGTATATACAGTAGGGAATGGGTATAATGGTATATACAGTAGGGTATGGGTATATACAGTAGGGTATGGTATAAGGGTTTATACAGTAAGTAGGGTATGGGTATAAGGGTATATACTGCCACCATTAGTTGGATCAGTTTAACAAGCAAATTTTATCAGATATATTTTGTGTAGAGGACTCAAAAAAGCAATGAAATAAGGTATGACTTCTGACATTTGTGGAATGTTCATTGAGAAATCACCAAAGATATAGTCCATGAGACAGTTGGTATAAACAGTTCAGATTTACTGCTACCAAGAGTAAAACTCTTGTACTTCTTGTTGAACATTGTTGATTTACTTGTTGCAGTTTCAACTTCGAGTCTAGCTTCTGTGTCACTACTAGAGGAAGAGTTAGGGACAGAACTAGATGGATCTCCAGGGGAGAGAAGAGAGAGAGAAGAGGGAGGGACATACAGCCAGTACCTGGGAAATAAGCGACCGGGATCTAACGACCAGAACATATCTCACTCCCTCTCCGACGACGTCTTCCTCAGACCACAGATATCACACAGTGAGTATCCCCCAGCAGGATCAGAGAACAACCTAGACCTTAAGTGTCTATACAGATATATACATTACTGTTCTACAGTCCTTAGATAAACCTACCAACCAAAACATGCTATTTAGAACTACTACTCAAGAATATTTCTGAAACTGTTCAGGTCTTTCTATCAAATTCAGTTTTGAGGAAAATTCATGAATCGTTTCCAGTTTGTTGCCTGATGGAAATGGTAACCTTAGAAAACCAACCTTCGTTTTATATGTTGTTTTTAACATTAATATAAGTAATAAAATGTCTCTTTTTACCATTTGACATATGACTTTTCCCTCTGTAGCCTGTGCTCGCTTCATCTCCGTCACCTGTAGTTAGTTATTTATCAGAAATTCTGTTATACTTGACCTAATACGCACTCTATCCCCCTATAAGGTCCCTATTATAATGCCCATACTTTGTTTGGTCCAACTGTCTCATAATTTACCAACTTTCTTGAAATTTTAAAATTCTGCAATAACTTAATTTTCTAAAATTGCTAAGCGCCTAGGGCACTTACTAGATTGAATACCAGACTAATGATGAGATTGTTTGTAGCGGAGGAGAGCAGCCTAGCCACTATGGAAGTGTCAGACAACAGTTCTCTACTGGGCGAGTTTGAGTACCTGGCTGATGTCAGCAGCTGTAACGAACCTCTGTCACCGGAACTGGAGATTCTCTCCCAAGAGATGGCCAACAAGGGCCCTATACAGTCAGAGCTGGAACTCAGGTGGGTGTCTTATCACATTTTACTTTGTTCACCTAGTTGTCCCAGGATACTGCAAGTGTACCCCAACAAATTTGCAGAAACTTAGTATACAGTTTCTTATTAATATGTAGTTGTGGTACATGTACTGCAACTTAAACCGTGTCAGTGCAGCCACCGTTTCTCAGACCTAAAAATGGGTTTCTAGTCCCCATGTTTACTAAGTGAATGGACTTTGCCTAGCCTGGTGCCAAACATAGATTTGTTTTTGTATCTTTTTAAAGTCCATTGACTATTTAAGTCATTTTGAGGCAAATAGGAGAAAGCTTGTTTGAGCCTTATGTAGGTGAATCCTACATAATTAACACTTTGTTTCTGTTTGATATTGTCTGGATAAGTTATGTTTACTGTTGATCCACCAGGTACTTGCTCCAGATAGCTTTAGAGGCAGGATGTCTAGAGTGGGCACTCATCTTCTCTGTATTGCTGCGTGATGCGTTGGCCGTGGTGAGGACCGTCAACACTGCCAGTATGACAGACACACCCTTGGAGATGGTGGCACGTATGAGGGAAGGACTATCTTACCTGGAACTGTGGTCAGATACTGAGTGGTAAGCATAGTACAGGTACCTGAAAAGATAGGATCACTAATGTATAATACATGTCCTTACTTATCCTGAAATGATAGTATCCCACATTAAGGAAAATCATTGTTTTAACCCTGTTGTGTATTACCATACCGGTTGGTCCAGTTGGAAGCAGAAAATTTCCAGAGACGTTTTTGTCCTGCCCACCGAAGAGCTTTCGCATAGGACTCGAGGTTGTTTGCCTTGTGTTTCAGTGACTCAAAACAAGAATACTTGCTCGGAAAGGACTCAAAGTTGTATGTGCTGTGTCTCATTGACTCATCACTATAACAGTTCTTTATATAAGACTTACAGGTATAGGTCTGAAGTCTTGGGGGATATAAAAGGCACCTTTATGTTGAGATCATAAAAAGAGAAGGTTACATCACGATGCTTACTTCTGACTACCAATGACCTCCATATAGAGCTCTATAAAGCCTCTGAGTCTATTACCAGAACATTTCCTTGAAGAGAACTCATTTAAGATAAAGGTCCAGTATCTTGATGCACTTAAAACATTATGACCACTGTTGAATCAAAATAAAAGTTGACTAAGCCCACAACAGTGTACTTCAGAAGAGACATAAAGAGATTTATCTAACTATGACTTAATGACTCTGGACATTATGAAACATTTGGAACAGGAGATTGAGCTTACACTTTTGTTTCAAGCCATACAAAATAACACTTGTCTACTCTTTGTTTTTTTCCAGTCTGGGGTACAAGCCATTCCTACACGCGATTCGAGGACAGATCCATGTGTTAAATAAACTGGTGGAACAGACACCTCCAACTCTACAGCTAAGCACCACGCCCCTAGAGAGCTCTCCTCTGGATGAAGGTCAAATATCACCCGTGTTACAAGCCATGCGCACCATGGACATTGAAACTGTGGTAGAGAATGACATTGAGAGCAAAGCCAAGGAGGAGAAGGGAAGTGATTGTGTCATATCCTGATAGTCATTATCATATCTCCCAAATATTTCTTGCATTGACCAAAACACTTTGCTATGGAAACAGCCAGCGGACCAAGATTTACATCATCGTCAGTATTCATCATATGTTATCTTGTCATATCAGTGATCAGGACCCAGGATCATGAAGTGGTCTTTGACTTCAGTCAGACTTAAAAATGAAATATTAAAACTTCATTCTTAAGGAAATTCCAAGTGCTGTTTGATGTATATTAATTGAAGGGTTCTGATTTTGTTTGGCAGTTTTTCTGACTTTTTTTTCTGACTTTCTTGCCCATTTACCACTGCAAAGAGTATTTATTTGTGAAAAAGAAATATGTCTGTTATCACTTCCTGTTTTTCACAACAAAATCTCTGCCCTGGGATTTGACACTCGAAATTCTTGATAAAAAGCAGGAGGCTTATCCACTACACAACAGGTTACAATATTTGGTTGGAATACATAGGAAATGTAATAAATTTAATAAAAACAAAAGCCATGTATACAGTAGGAAGGTGATGAGACTCTTTACCTTAAGTCTAAATTCTTCATGATCCTGTAGCTCGATTTGTCATGGGATCGCTCGGGTGATCTGTTGCATCAAATCATGATGATGTTGATTCAAATTATCGCTGGAGATATCCGCATTTCCTCGCTGTGGTGAGATACCTCGTCACAATGTTAGATCTATGTAAGGATAGATATCCGCATTTCCTCGCTGTGGTGAGATACCTCATCGCAATGTTAGATCTATGTAAGTTTAGATATCTCTCATTTCCTTGCTGTGGTGAGATACCTCGTCACAATGTTAGATCTATGTAAGGATAGATATCTGTCATTTCCTCGCTGTGGTGAGATACCTCATCACAATGTTAGATCTATGTAAGGATAGATATCTGTCATTTCCTCGCTGTGGTGAGATACCTCATCACAATGTTAGATCTATGTAAGTTTAGATATCTGTCATTTCCTCGCTGTGGTGAGATACCTCGTCACAATGTTAGATCTATGTAAGGATAGATATCTGTCATTTCCTCGCTGTGGTGAGATACCTCATCACAATGTTAGATCTATGTAAGTTTAGATATCTGTCATTTCCTCGCTGTGGTGAGATACCTCGTCACAATGTTAGATCTATGTAAGGATAGATATCTGTCATTTCCTCGCTGTGGTGAGATACCTCATCACAATGTTAGATCTATGTAAGTTTAGATATCTGTCATTTCCTCGCTGTGGTGAGATACCTCGTCACAATGTTAGATCTATGTAAGGATAGATATCTGTCATTTCCTCGCTGTGGTGAGATACCTCATCACAATGTTAGATCTATGTAAGTTTAGATATCTGTCATTTCCTCGCTGTGGTGAGATACCTCGTCACAATGTTAGATCTATGTAAGGATAGATATCTGTCATTTCCTCGCTGTGGTGAGATACCTCATCACAATGTTAGATCTATGTAAGTTTAGATATCTGTCATTTCCTCGCTGTGGTGAGATACCTCGTCACAATGTTAGATCTATGTAAGGATAGATATCTGTCATTTCCTCGCTGTGGTGAGATACCTCGTCACAATGTTAGATCTATGTAAGTTTAGATATCTGTCATTTCCTCGCTGTGGTGAGATACCTCGTCACAATGTTAGATCTGTGTAAGGACAGATATCTGTCATTTCCTCGCTGTGTCGAGATACCTCGTCACAATGTTAGATCTGTGTAAGGATAGATATCTGTCATTTCCTCGCTGTGGTGAGATACCTCGTCACAATGTTAGATCTGTGTAAGTATACACATGTATATGACACCATTATATCATTCTGTAATATATGGATCAGTTATTTTGTTACGACTGGTTCATAAATGTTGTGAAATGTTACAGTTTGGTATATTGGCTAACAATACATTTGTTTGTCGACAGTAAATGTAAGTTGACAATACATGTAATTTTTATGTCGACAGTAATATGTAAGTTGACAATACATGTAATTTGTATGCTGACAGTAAACGTAAGTTGACAATACATGTAATTTGTATGTCGACAGTAAACTGAGTTGACAATACATGTAATTTGTATGTCGACAGTAAATGTAAGTTGACAATACATGTTATTTGTATGTCAACAGTATATGTAAGTTCACAATACATGTAATTTGTATGTCGACAGTAAATGTAAGTTGATAATACATGTAATTTGTATGTCGACAGTAAATGTAAGTTGACAATACATGTTATTTGTATGTCAACAGTATATGTAAGTTGACAATACATGTTATTTGTATGTCGACAGTAAATGTAAGTTGACAATACATGTAATTTGTATGTCGACAGTAAATGTAAGTTGACAATACATGTAATTTGTATGTCGACAGTAAATGTAAGTTGACAATACATGTAATTTGTATGTCGACAGTAAATGTAAGTTGACAATACATGTAATTTGTATGTCGACAGTAAATGTAAGTTGACAATACATGTAATTTGTATGTCGACAGTAAATGTAAGTTGACAATACATGTAATTTGTATGTCGACAGTAAATGTAAGTTGACAATACATGTAATTTGTATGTCGACAGTAAATGTAAGTTGACAATACATGTAATTTGTATGTCGACAGTAAATGTAAGTTGACAATACATGTAATTTGTATGTCGACAGTAAATGTAAGTTGACAATACATGTAATTTGTATGTTGACAGTAAATGATCACAGTTAGTTACATGTAACATATATATGAAAATACATGTAATTTGTAAGGTAAATGAAGGGAATATTCACAGGATGTACTTATGTGGTTTACCATGTCTAGTGAGTATTTAACCACCAGATATTACTGTACAGAAACGAGACTTGTTTCAGACATAACGTGAGTGCTCTGTTTATGGAAATTTGAAAGTTAAGCCAGTTTGATCAATTATTTTTGCAACTTTGACCACCAGTATTGAGATTATCAGCAAAATGTATTTAGATAATTTATTGGGGGAAGGATTAAGAACAACCCTTTAAAACATTGTTCTGAAGTAATTTGAACAATTCAGTAATTAAAAAGCAAACCTTTAAATATGTTTATGGATTCAAAGATTCAATATTTCTGTATACATGCTTCTTAATATAGTATCCCTTTAAAAATTCTTTGTGCCATCTGAAAATAAGAAAAGGCGACAAGTCAGTGTTAAAGGTTTATAGATACTATATATTTATATAGATATCAGTGTTAAAGGTTTATAGATACTATATATTTATATAGATATTTGCTGGTGATAAACAAATTAGATTCTTTCTATATAATAATGCTTATATAGTACCTATCACATTTGCACAACCTCATTTCAAACATTTAGATAAACTTACAGGTGTACTCGCTCACAGACTCTTTGTTTTGAGACCATCAATCAAGATAAGGTGTCCGACACCTTCCAGCAGAACTTTGGTTGTTTATAATGTTTGGTGATATTGATGTAAAAAACTCTAAAGTTAACACACTTTACTTTGTGATTAAGAATTTGATAATTTATCACTAGACAGATTTTTATTGATTTTCCACCTAGTATGGTAAACAAACAGGTTACTTTCCATCCGAAATCATTAGTCCTTACTCAGGTTTTTGTAATTTACCTGGTATCTACCCTAAACCAGGTGCTTCTGTTGGGCCCACGTCAATATATGCCTTTCAGTACTTTTTTGAGCTATCCCATGTTGATGAGAATCAGAATTTTTTTTTAGCTTAAGATGAAAATGCTGGCGGCTCTTGATTTAGCTATTGTTCTCTTTAGCAGTTTAAATTTTATTGATCTATATGTGGGCCCGTCATTTCACCAGATTAAAGCTTTACAAAATTTACCTGCTATATGATAGCACATTGGTGAGAAAAAATTTGTAACAGGACTATAATCTACCCTTGTTGTTATTTTTATGTTGTTATGGTATTATTGACCTTATGAATATGCATGACACATATATAATGTCATATAAAGCAATAAATTTGCTTCTTTTGATGACATTATAGATTTTAAACTGTAAATACATTTGTAGACTAAGTGTTTCTTGTAAAACATTGTGAGTCGCCCCATCAAAATCTAGATAGTTTCTGAAACAATGACACAGTTGGTATTAGGTACCAAGCATTAGCTTTTCAAAGCCATCGAAAAGTGTCAGTAAATTCTATCCATCACATGGGAAGACATTAAGATTGTGTCCAAAACTTGAATTTTCAAGTTTCCCATAACAGGTAATAAAAAAGTTGTATAAACTCAACAGGACAGGTGTATTAATAACCAGTCAGACTGTTGTTTTCAGTTATAATAAACGGGTTCTGTGAACATCAGCTAGCATTTAAAGTAGCAATTTCCTGACTTTCAGAATCTGTATTAGCAAAGTTCAATGTGGGGGAATAAACATGTGATGATAGTTTAACAGGCGTGCTATTCCCAGTGTATTAACATGTTAATGATATTGTGGATGGATCATACAAAGGATGTGTTTTGTGATAGATGAATGGAGAGCATGTCTGAAGTGATAGATGTATGGAGAGCATGTCTGAAGTGATAGATGTATGGAGAGCATGTGTGAATGTATATAATAGTTGTACATATGTAGTCAGCAGGATTTAGTGTAAATACATGTGTGGTGAGAGTTATATAGAGCATGTAGTATTTATTCACACATTATGTACCCCACACACCTTGTTTACGTACACATGTAAGTATTAATTCTATATAAATGTTTTCACTGGTGAATGTTTAACCGAGGTCCTTTTTTCATAGTGCCTCCACTAGAATATGGACCTGGAACTACAGACCACTAGTCCAGTTTCTCTACCAACTAAACTAAAGGAAATGTCAGTAACATATAACTAGATTTTCACCATTGTGATAAATGTATTTATGCTTCCCTTGAATTCAATAAAATCTTGAATGGTTACACAGATTGAGCGACAAGGCCAGTGGTAGAGCTAGGATTAGGCAATCAGCTTTATGTAGAGATATATATATATATGCATCGTGAAGCTACTTTTTAGTATTATATTTCCATATCTACTTAAGTTCAAGTCTGCTTTACTACCAAATAGGTTTCATTTTGCCCATGAAATTGAGTAGTTTTCCCTAACAACATTGTGAGTAGGTCAACAATGGTAAATGTCGTCGTAGTTTATGATTCACACTGATACTGTCTGAGATTCTGCTGCTGAATATATCTTATGGCAACATAAGGGTTGAATAGTTGGTCTTGAAACAAATTTACATGAACATTTCGTGTTAATCATCCCATGGACATGACTAAGCAGGATTCAGTCTGAAGTACTGTAGTACCTGATACATATGTTCTCTTTCAGGTTTTCACTCCAATCACAACCGCAGTCATCAATGTTACTATTACTAGTTTGAATAAAAGCATCATATAGTTTCCTGTGGTAGGTCTGTGTTAAGTCTGCTATTGAAATAAGCAATGGTCACATTTATTGACAAGCATTTATTGCATGGGTGTGATTGTGTGTTTGTAGGCGAGTGTGTGCGTGTTTGTAGGCGAGTGTGTGTTTGGGTGTTTGAGTGTGTCCATCAATGAGAGTGTTTACGTCTGTTTGTATATAATAAACAGCCCTACATAAGAACAGTGGTAATCAACTTATTGGTTGAATTTTTTTTATCACTGCTTATGAATTTTCCTGTTATGTATTTAACAAAAATGAAGAAACTTGCCTTTCAGCAGCTTTAGTTGTATGACAAGATGACCTATGTAAGGCTTCAGTAAAGCTGAACTTTTGACCCGCCTTCCTTTACTAGTCCACCACATTATGGATTGGTTCTCCACAAAATGTATACATTTATCATTATATCTATCTGTGATTTATAACATATATTTAACATTTTAGTGGAATTGTGATATTTGTTCATTTTCTAAAAAAAAACTACTAAAGAATATAATTTCTTTGATTTGACAGACACTGTTGGTTTTTTTCTTACTAACTTAACTTTCTTAAAAATGAAAATTTAATGATGTACAAACTATGAACCAGCTTAATACTTAAGTCACGACTCACAAAATCAATGTTTTGTTATTTAAAAATTGAACCAAATTGATTCCATTTATGAAGTGGCTAATTCCTTGGAGAATATATATATACATCCAATGGAGAATATATATATACATCCAACTGTTTTGAGAATATCTTTAGTCTGTCAGCATTTTATCAGCCATTGGTGTTCGCTTTATTGACGAGCTGCCATGGTTTTTTTGTCTGTCATTTTTGCTGTTAGCATTAGTTTGTCCGCCTGGTGGTTATATTTCTGTGTTAGATATATTTTTGTTGGACAGAAATTTTGTGACATGTATACAAACGTGTATGCTGTCGAAGTCCCTTCGTTATTCACTTAGAGCATTATTTTTGTATTGCATGTAGAATTTTTTGTGCAAGTTGTAGCTCATCAGATGGAGATACGTATGTAATACTGTCAACAGCTAGGTGATGTGTACATGGCTTCATACTAGCTAATTACCATAATTACTCATAATGCGAACGAAAAGAACTTCTGCTGTACTTCATTTTCCTGTGTGAGTATAGGAACATTACTAAGTAGATTTCCTAGCTTGAATGCTTTTCTAGTGTATGTAGACTGTCAACATACATTTTGAAGTTTAAATCTAAGTCTTGCTTGTTACTCACAGTGATTAGGATTCGTAATTTGATAAAAAAAAATAGGTATTATTTAAGGAATGATTTTTATTTTTTCAACATTTATGAGGTCATAACAACAATGGGTTTATGGACATATTGAATGAATCGCGTTAGGTATTATTACACAATAATCCTATACGATCATATTATTAATTCTGCTGCCATTTAAAAGCACAAAGATCTGATATAGATAACTATTCAATCTATCCAAAAACAAAACTAATAGTAACCACTTATATTTGTATACCCCCTGCAACAAAGTTTGGAGGGAAGGGAGGTATACTTGAACCCGGTTGTCTGTAAATACAACTTGGTTCACACTACGGAGATGTGAGAAAAGTATCACTGATATCAGGCTTAGGCATTTTATGTGAAATGAAAGAAAGCAAACACTTGGCCTTATTTATCGGTCATTCAGGTTGTGACAACTAGCAACTATTGGTGGTAACATTTTAACTTTCTTGACATGCAATGATTCTCTTAAAAGAAGAAAAACATCAATTGCAAAAGGAATCAAAACAAATTGTCATAGTTTCTGTACAGATAAATCCCATTACCGTCGATGTGTTGGTGTGTATACCACAGCGTTCATCGCACATTAGTAGTAGAAATGTTCATAACAGATCCTTTAAAGGTTTTTATATGTTGTCTCTAAAATACACCTGTATTTTTTAATTCATTTAACTTTCACACTATCCAGAACTCAAAACCAGATTCACTTCAAAATGTCATAAATTCTTTATATTTGTAAACGGAAGTTAAAGTAGGGTAATTTCAGTGTATTGTACAGTTTTGTTGTAACCATGGTTGTCATTTGCTAAAAACGACAAGTTTGCAGTCTCGGGTTGTAAATGTTTCACACAATATTGATGACAATACATTTGCTATAAGTATTATATATTGACAGTATGGCCATGCATGATCTTATAATGTTGATGGGGGCATTTAGACCTAACAAATAAATAATTATCGAATACTGATGGCAGTATTAAATTGGTCCGATTTAAATGTCAGCAAAAACTGAAACATCCCCTACCAGGAGATGTATACCAGCTCCCCAGTCAGGGTTGTCATGGCGATCAAATCAGGTACCTCTCTAAGTGTGACAGGTGAGAGAGCAGGTGAAGCATGGATGTAGACTGAGAGTGACACACAGAAATATTCTGCATTCACAAGTGGTGACATGTGAATACTAATACGAATGAAGGTGCTTTTATAAATAAATGAAAACAAACATATCTTAATTTGTATTTTTTTGTTTTTTTGTAACATTGAACATTACTGTTTTTGGTTCTCCATTGAAGTCCCCCCACGGGCTGCAGTTATTTGGAGAGAGGTATAACAAGAAGGAGTAGGTATTGGAGAAAAGATAACAGTCCAAATTATTGTGATGGGGGCAGAAGATCAGTCTTAACTTCTTCAAGGCTTGCTAAGCAGAAGTCATAGAAAAAAAACCTGGATTTACAAGGAACTCAACATTAGTCGGATGAGAAAACTAAATACAAAGGAACTATGTATAAACATGTCTATAATTACTTAATTAAGTACTAATTTAATTTATAAATTACAGTTTAATACATATTCATTCCACTACTCATAAACTTGTAGAACTTCACCATTGTATCATATCAGCTCTTGAAAAGCATCCATAAACCTCTCATATATTTTATGATTTCTTCAAAGCTTTTTAAACTAATATGATAAACCTTTAGGTGGGATAGGAAATGACCAGGTATTTATATCCAAAAGGAAACAGTCTTTGGTAAAACATGAGGGCCCATGGGCCTGGATCACTCCCCTAATTTTTTATCTCACATCCATGACATCAGTAATTTTAAAAGTCTACCAAGGTCGAATATGTTAAATGGACTAAATAAAACACAGGCCAATCGTCACCTTGGTCATTTTACTAATTAAGAAGAAATTAATTTAAAGATATATTGAACATTTGACCTCTATGACCTAAAAGCGAGTAAAAGATATTCATTCGAACAAACTTGTCACTTTTGGTTAATAAAATGATGGCATCAAACATTTGACCATCGTTACCTCGAAAATAGGTCAAGGTCATCCATTTAAAATTTGGTAGCCTTTCATCCAAGCATTCTACTACTACTAGGCAAATATGAATAACCTGGGTATTTTGTTTATTTTGAGGAAACTGTTTTAAGAATTTTGTTTCAAACTTTTAGCCCGTGACCTTGAAAGTAGGCCAAAGTCCTGTAATTGAATATACCTGTTAGCCCCTCATCCCAGCATGTTACTTGCTTATTGATCGCATAGTAAACATACCTGGTTCTCATTTCTCAGCAACGCTCGAGTGCACTGTCAGATCCAGTCCCACCACCATTTTCTCCTCGCCTTTATATAAGCTTAAGTTTGACAGTACACGTGTTTGAAATTAGTGATTGTTCTGATTATGAAAAAGATATCCTCCTAAAGAAAAGTTTAAAAAAAACCCAGAGACTAGAGCAAACTCTCGAGATCCTTTCAAGAATGGGATAAGATAGCACCATAGCACAGAAAACACGCCGATTACTATTCAAATCACGTCCAGTAAGACCCAGTCAAATCAGATGTCATTCTGGACAGATATGAAGGATAAAGAAGGCCTATTACTAGGACCCGATTTGGTCATGTAGGGAGGTACTAACGAACAAAAAAATATAATTAAAATCGTCACGCTTTTGTTTAAAATCAATGCATTCAAAATAAAAATGTGTGGTCGTAAAAGGTTGCAAGTATAATGATAAGGCTGGTCTTCCTTTCACTATTAGCTGTCGAGAGAGGACAACTCCCCTCTGCAATCTGCAGGGAATGTCATCAAACAACTGTGAAATGAAGATAGGGACATGGAACAGAGAATAAGAAAGTTGGGCAACAACAGCTTTGGGATGACCTTAAAGAGGATATGTTGCCTACGAAACGAAGAATAACTCTAAGAAGAAAAAGAAAAGAGGCAGTAGAGAAAATAAAAGCATTTGAAGTGGAGCAATCAGATCATCAGAAAAGCTTGAACGTGGAAATGGAAGTTCATCTCAAAGGTGTCCAGTCAGTGGATAATGTTCATAAATCCAAAGATACCAAACTCCCGACCTCAATTGAGATTCAAAATGTGGTGAAGAAGGAAAGATAGGATCAGCCCTATGACAAATACTCCCAGGAAATCTGTGGAAGCTAATATGTAAAGCCCCCTTTACACAAGGCTGCAACCTTTGTTCCACCTATGAATGGTAAAAAATTGCCAGTACGTTCAATCAAAATCAACATAGGCAACCCTCGAGCAATGTTTGAGTAACCATTAAGCCTCCTCTGTGCCTCCTCTGTGCGATCATTTGCAACCAACGGCAACTAACGGCGATCACTGGTCGACAATTCAGCCATGATTCTGCCCCCTTGGCCTCCTACTAGACGAGGGATGCATAAGAAAAGCAGAAACGTCACCCAGATTGACGTGAAATTTGAGACATTTATTATGTGGCGACTATTGGCTGATCATTCTGCATCCATTCTACACCCACGACAATGCGTGTGACTCCCTTCTGCCTCATTTGAGCCACCTTTTAGCAACCAACCTCTTCGGCGACCTTTGTGCGACTGCTTAGAACAGGTCCACAATGTTAAGGCATCCATGGCGATGTCTGAACATCCTGTGTACCACCTTTGAATGACATAGGCATTATTTGAGCCTTCAGCGGCAGCCTGGCTAGTCATCCTGTGTAAAGGGGGTATAAAGAATTGAAGAAAGGGATCAGCGTGCTGGAAAAACGCGGAATGATTCTTCGTTCCCATAGGTAAAGATTTAAAGACAGTTGACCATTTTATGAGTGTCAAAGAAAGAATTTCTTTTCGATATTTGTCAAGAGAATGACTGCCTCAATGACTAAGAAAAGCTATGTTGACACCTCAAGTCAGAGGAGAGGATTACAGGTATGTTCAGGACCTTACCAAAACGGGACACTTGTGGGAAAACGGCCCAAGAAACTGACATTCAATGCAAACAATTACTTTTATGTATACAGTTTTCATTTGATGATACTGTTCATGACAATTAAACTGTATTAAGCTTTATTGGCTGCTGATTATCGTTACATGAACAATTTAAAAATAAGAATAATTACCAAAAACAAGACTTGCCTGATTTACGTGCCGTGCGACGCTATTTATTTGGATATAATTTTCAAAAGTCCAGTTCATCAAAACTAATGCTGGTTTGGACTAAGGAATTTAATCAGAACCCTCGTTGACTCTAAAATATTTAAACTAGGCCTATGTAGATTTTCTGCTGATAATTTGATCGACCGGAATTGTCCCTTCCAGGGTACAGTAATGCCGGTTCAAGGGCCTACGTAACTCTGATGGTATTTCGCGTTCTTTTTATAGAACAACTGGCCCGAAATATCAAATTGTGATAGAAATGAAAAGTGGATATAGTATCTATTTATACAAAAAGAACAAACATTTTTGAAACTGATAGTTAAAGAACATTGATATTTATCTAAAAAGTGTCCTGATTGAGGTACAGACTGACGTTAGATACTGGAGATACCCACTTTACCAAAACACACAAACTGATAGAGCTAATCCTCTGGACCATTCTGACAAACCTCAGCGAATCTGTCAGCTTGGAAGATGATGATAATGATGTATTTTTCATTAATGCTCATTCGTGTGTGCTTTGTTGTTTCATGTGCCCACCCCAGTTTTCATTTTAGGGACGTGACATTACTGGATTTGACCTAGATTTACATGGCGCGTGTCGTTCGATGATGCAGAAGACTCTCACCCTTCCGGAACACTTGATCTTTCTATGATTGTTCACCATATTAAAAGGTCTCTGAGGATTTGTTTCCTTTAGTTGTATTCCTCCCAAGTCACAGTAATCGATGTTGACGGTGTCGTTTACACTTCGATATTCTCTTGGGTTTTTTCGTCATCATTAAATAAGGCAGCAGAAAAAACTGATGACCCAGAACAGCGTTGGTATCTATCTAGGAGGGAGATACCATCGTCAATGGACTGACCCTTTTATTGTGTATGATCATCCTCGAAGTTTCAGGGGTTACTCTCCGACTTAAGTTCCTTGCACCCCCGGGATATGTTGTGAATGTTGATCAGACAGACACAAGTTTGATTTTGTGATGTAAATCAAAAGAATCGTGCTTATGCATAACGGTAGATTTTCTCGGCTTTGAATTCGGGTGTTACTCCTCTGTAAACTTCAAAGGACAGGATTTGGGTTTGCGATTGGGCAGGGCTTATTTTTCTTGAAAATTGAAAAAAAAAATGTGGCTCTCAATTTAATAATACCGACTTGGAGAGAGCCTAAGATGTCCTTATTTTACAGAATATGTCATCTGATTCAATTTCTATTCGGAAGTGAAACATAGAAATATCTAATTTGTATTGTGTATAACCTTGATTAATATTGTGTAATGAGTGTGTATGTTTAATAAAGGCTAATTTTGTTTTGAAAAATGAACAGTTTTATACCCTTTCTTATTCTGTATGTGTTTGTTTTTTGTAAAATGTAAAAACAATAGGTATCTGCCTCAAATTAAAGGGGATACACTATACACAATAATATACTGATTTACAGTATTCATCATCATCATCATCATCATCTTCCATTAACCCTTTCACCACTGAGGACCATAATGGACTCATCCAGATCGATGCATGATAGAGTTTACTAAAGTTATATAGGGGTGAAAGGGTTAAGTGACAGATCTCCTTGATGGAGTGCAATTGTCACTGTGAGAGGTTCCTAAGTATTATGCGTATAGCACTCTACATATAGGTACATCAGTGTGTTTTGGTTTTACACACTTTCTGTTGACTTGTATACTGTCTACTATATGAAAAAATAGGTCATATCTTTCATTTGCTTTTTGTCTGTCAAATATTTGGCGCGAACAAATGTACGCGTGACGGAGTTATCGCCCCTTTATAATGATGGGCAGGGCACTGCGATCACTAGGATTTACTTCCTGAAACTGTTCATGACAGAGAAGTGACTGTCTCCGATTTGCCGCACCGGATAACGATGAGCCGAGACTACAGGAGAGGCAAGATGAAGACAGACTAGACACCAAACGAACAGGTAACACAAACTGTCGGGGAATACTCAAAGAGATTGCCGTAGGCACCAGATTGACTGTTACATGTTTTCCATTATACAGCGACGCGGAGATTTTATAAACTGAACCTCTAGATTGTTACTTCCTTGTTGGTGGGTGCTAATGTTTGCTATTGCGGCAGTTGGTAAACATGTCCCAAACTAAAATAAGTGTGTCCATATCATTGTTGAGTATCTGTTTAAACAATTTTCATGTTGTTATGGATATTAACACTATAGTAAGTTATAACCAAACGGAAAGTAGCTAGGTACTGTAGGCCGAGTATCATCTGACCTCATAGACTGGTCTGGATTGTAATGATACTGGCTCTGTGACTTAGGTTCAGTGCTATTTAGAAATATAAAGTATTAATGTACAGGTACCTAATTTGTAACACCATTACCCAGCATTCTGTGTCGCTGTTTTTAATACCCCCAGTAAACTACACGCCACTATTTGTGTACTAAAATATCAGACCAGACTAACTACAGTTATTCCCAACCCCCTCCTTTTAACCTTTTAACATGTATCTCATATATTGCTTTTAAATCCAGATCAGTTACATGTATTCTTTTAATGATTACTTGTTTTAACCTTGATAGAGTGATAAGGAAATTATAAATGAATTTTAAATACTGTCCTGATAAAGGGACTTTATATTTTTTTTAAATGATTGAAGGACTTTTAAATGAAAAAGGGATATTAGAATGATAGAGGGACTACTTTCTTGCTTGGCACGTACACGTTTACCACACTGTACACATTTACCACACCCTATTCAAGGGGTGCTCCTGTTACAGGACAGCTGACTGACAGTAACATTAAATTACTTGCTGTACTTTACTGCAATGATTGATAGCCTTGTAGGTTTGTTGTCTCTTATCATTCTCTACATTTGTGGTTCTTCCTGTTGTGCTATATACAAGCTTTATCATGATCACTAACTAGTGATAACAAATTGTGCTCCTAACAGTTTCACCAACTCACAGTCGTAATTTAATGGCATTACACAAATTAAGTAACAACTTTATTTAAAGGCTATTAGTTCTGAAAAAAAACCATATGAGCTATATATATGTGATTATTAGATAGTGCAAATTTGTGTCAGTGGTCTTTCCAATGTTAACTCAACTTGATTTGATGATGCTGATGTTAACAGCTGAGACCAATTCTTCAGGAAGACAAGCTTATATCAGTCTCCAGAGTGCTGTCTAAATTGCTGAGTGTATTCCCACTGCATGGTGCTGAGTCTAAATTTGGAGTTCTTGTAGAGCTTTTTTACCTATAGAAGTGTGTTGCAATATTTTAATCATAATAATAAGTTCTAAATTACCCTTTCAGAAATATAAAATCTATGCCTTTTTGATTTTCAGAATTGTGTACACTTTTTATAATTAGGTCTCCCCTTAAACTTAGCAATTCTTAATAATTGTAAATCTCTAATTTTGGTACGACAGGTTGGTTTGATGCTGGTTATACATTTCCTAGAACTTGTTTACGGTATTGATAGTGATCTTATCTCTGATCAACAATGCTGATCAGACAAAACAGTGTTCCTGGTGAGTGGTGGCGTTTTATTGTAACCTGTTTTAATATTATACTAAGCAAAAAACAATTAATTGCAATGGACACCAATATAGGGATAATGTTGTCAGCATTGATGTTCACTCAAATGATTCTTACTGGATTACTCTTGAAGAAATGCTTTGATTTATATCATTATGAAATGTTCTACACAAATAAGCTACTCAATTTTGATCTTAGCCTAAGCAAGAAAATTGACATGGCCACTTGCAGCTGTCTTTGATTTGTAAAAAGTTGCATGGTTTTCGTGCAGTAGCTCTCAAAGAAGGCCTTGATTTCGTAATACTTTCTACGCATACCGATACCGGTAGTATCAATTACCCATTTGAGACTGATACTGATTCAAATCTGAAATCAACATGGTCATCTTTAATGTTCTGAAAAGTCACATGGTTTCCATGAAATAATTATTTAAGGAATGCCTTGAATATGACGAAACTTAATAACCAAGTATTTATAATATTAATCAGCAAATCATGTTCAATTTTGACCAGGATCTGAAACTGAATATGGCCACCTGCAGCCATCTTGGATGTTGGCATCTAACACCTATTGAAGGAAGCTTTGATTTGAAGATATGTATATAACTTGATTGAAACATGATCTTTTCCTCCCCCGATATTACATAATTATATATTGATTTATGTCACAGACACTTTGGCCAGAGCAACCAGCTTTTGTTTTGAGGACCCAGGTTGAAGTCCAAGTCTGTATATATATCTGATGTTGAACAACAGAACAATTTTACCTGTAATGTACTTTTCTTGGCTTCAATTCAATACTTCTGATTAGTATGGTAACTTGGGATTCATTCTGGATACTAAATGTAGAAAAATAAAGTCTGAACTGTTAAATGTCAAGAGTATTGCATATATATTGGTAATGTGTATATACTGGGTAAATATTGTACCTGTATATATATAAATATCTCAATTATTAATGAAGAAAAAAAATTGTAAACCATTGACAGGTTAGTTGTATTGGCCTGGAAATAGCATTGACATGCTTTAGTAAACACATTTATGTGATCTTTATTGTTCTACGCATAATTTTATATGCACATTTAAAGTAACCTCAATAAAACACTTCACAACAATGATTTAAAAATTCTGTGTGTTCACCTTCCTGGTTAGGTGTGTGTTTTGTTAAAATGGCCACTGATAAACAGCATATATATTATTTCCTGGTTCCAATGAAATGTACATGTCTACTGCACCGAGTCTAGTTTTTGTTGTTGACCTGTATACAAATTAGCTGTTATTGTTTAATGTAGAGTCCAACAAAAACTTCCATGTCAATAACTGCCTCAATGTAGTGGCTTTAGAGTTGTGTTGAATCTTTTGTTAAATACATTTTCAGCACTTCACATAGAGAGTTACTGTATTCAAGCTAGTAAATGTCCTGGGCATTTTTGCAAATTGGTAAAATTAGAGGGTTGAAGAAACTTAAAAAAATGCTCATAAAATTGCAATACATATTTAACAGTTATTTCTCAAGCATGTTGGTAAATTTTTGTGATTTGATGCTCAGACCAAAAATTGGAAAGGATGTGATTATAAGGAAACAGGTACGTTTTGGGTGAATTTTGGGTACATCATGTTTTCATTTAAATGTGACTTGTTCAAATCTGAGAGCGAGTATGTCATCACTTATTGAGTCAGTATTGGTCAGAAAAATACCATTGTGATGCATATCTCTCTGTTTTGGAACCTCGGGCCCAGCGGCTGGTAAGAGAAGTCTCAGGTAAATGGCTGATAAGTACAGATAAAAACTTTTTTACTCTGCCACTGTTCGACTTTGTTTAACAAAATTTTGGCAGTTTAAACAGGGTTATGAAATGTACTTACAAAAGTAGTATTAAGATAAAAGAATACAAAGTACCTTTAAATTTGTTGGCCACAAGAGAGTCAGCAAATGAAAAGAATCAGCATATCAAAGTTTGACTACAATACATTATATAAAAAACCCGCTATATATTTACTAGTAACTTAAACAGACTCTTGATCCTCCCCAGATACTGCCAGTGTTAACAAAAACAAACTGTTTTGTACTGGTTTTATCTGGACTGGAAGTTCAGGAAGACCTGCTGCTCCTCAACCTTCACAGCAAGGAGATAACCGACCCGGTGTATTGATTTTTCAGGATTTGCGGATATTTAAAGATGAAATCAGTTGATGCCAGAGTGAAGTGATAATATTCACCAGGTTTCAGTCTTTATTTCAATTTACTACATGTGATACACACTTTGAGTGGTATTTTAATTAAGATAATGGCTTTTGTAGGAAATAGTGGTTAAACATTTGTGAAAATATGGATCGTGTTTTAACCCTGCTTTCACAATCTCTGCTTCCCACATACCAAAATTTTGAAACACAAACCACATAGTGTATTTATATCTCCATAACTTCCTAGTCCATCTCTGAAACACTATGTAATCACTATTTATGACAATTGTGTGAACTGCTAGATTATCCGATTTCCATCTAATTGATATTTGTGTGGAGTAATTTCCTTGTTTTGTTGTATCAACTTCCATTTACATGTAAATGGGAGGTTGCTGATAAGAGTTGCATTGCTGTTGTTTACTTAGATTCTCTTGAAACACAAAGGACAAAAAACAAATCACTTAAGAGGGGTCTCATTTAAGACTATTTTGGTTGTGATAAACAACAATTGAGGGATCTTTTTTAATGTTGACTAAGTCTGCATGGACTCTCATGAATTTCTAATGAATCGTGTGCTGGAAAAGCCGCACAGCATTGTCGCACATTCATATTGTATGCTGGGTCAAGTGGGGTCTTGAGATTACCCTGATACTAGGGGACCACAGAGTGATTGGGGCGCCATTTGGTGCAGACACAACATGATCTTGGTCGGTAAGGTTGTTGAAATGTTGACATCAAACTTTTATTTGACCCTGACATCTAGCTTTATAAGTTCATTTTGTCATTCGTGTTTTTATGACAATATGTTCTTGAGTGATGTGCTGTACTGAACAGTTTTTGCTCAGATGATTAGGAGAAATGTTTTCCCTATGTTAAAATCATATTGCTTGAACAGTTGACTGAAGAAGGGATGTGTACATACTATAATATAAGGGAAAATTACATAAATATTCTAAATGGAACCCTGGATCTTTAGCTAGACCCACAGTGAGGGACCAATTCAGGTTTATGCTCCCAAAGAATGAACATTAGTGTACCACCCTCTTTTTAATTCCAATATGACTGGATAATTTCAATATTTCCCTCCAATTCGAACATTTTGTTCACTAATTTGAAAATTTCCATATTCAATGCATTTAAAGCTTTGTTAGATAAACAAAATAACTGATATTGTAATCTTATTATTTGTAGTCATATGCATGTGTTATATAAATATATTTAAGATTCCAAGTATA